TTGGCAACATCGCAAAAATTTTGGCGGTCACGATTAAAATAATACAGACAGGCCCATGACACTCCCTGGGCGGGAAAAAGACACGCAGCTTTTACTGCGCTGACGTTTTCGGGATATAACCTATCACTTGTCATAAATCCGGTTAAAAACTCGCTACCATGCGCAGGCAATCCATATTTCGTACACAAATACAAACTTTTGTTTACATTTTATCAAAGTAGTTTTTGTAATACATTCACAGCTTAAAAACGGAAAATTTGTTGTTTTGATAGTGAATTTAGATCAAAAATACCCCAAATACACTTTAGTGTGTGTTTTATCCTTATTGTTACGTATTATTGCTCGTTTTATTTGAGGACATTGGAATAAATAGAGTACTAGAAGTAATCAAGCTAAAAAGGTGTCTTATAAGAAGAAAATACATTGCATTCGACTGATTTATGTTTAATATGTTTTCGTAAAGTATTTCCAACATGCTAGTTCCTTGAATGGTTGTAAATTGTAAGTGTATAAGTGATAGAAACTGATCTAGTGCTTTGTGCTTCGTTTTTTTTTGTGTTGGTGTCCCAGCCCAGCATTCCTAGCCAGCAGTAGTAGCAAAAACATTAACATTGTCTACATTCAACACGTTTACATGTACATGATTTATCAGCTAAAAGCAGAATACAATGGTTCTCTGCAAAATGTAAACAACGCTACAAGGAAAATTGCTCATGTATAAATTCAACAATTAAATCAAAATATATTATTTTTAAAGGACTTATATCAACTATTATGTTAATTATAAATATTTGTAACAAAATAATAGTTGTGTATTAATAAATCTGTTACTACTCCAAAAAATATATTGTTTATTAAGTGTAAGGGGTTAAAGAAAAGGTCCTTTATTTCTCACAAGTCAATTTAATTGGCGACCGGTTTCGAAGCTGTCACTTCATCATCAGGCACACCTTGACTTGACTTTATGGAAATAGTCAAGGTGTGCCTGATGATGAAGTGACAGCTTCGAAACCGGTCGCCAATTAAATTGACTTGTGAGAAATAAAGGACCTTTTCTTTAACCCCTTACACTTAATCCCTACTACTCACATATGGCTACCCTCACTCCAAATATTGTTTATTGATTATCAGGTATCAAAAATGATGTTTCTTATTATAATTGTAAATAAAAACAACACTTTTTATCCGTCCATTTAACACTTACAAACATATGAATATTTTAAGTTGGAAGGATCCATAGCCTCTTAATTTTTTACATTAGACACAAGACCTGTGATGTCACATTAAATCCTGAATATGAGATAAAGGATTTTGGAGTTGTCTTTCAGTCTAATTTGAAGTTTATTAACCATTTCTTACACATAACTAAAATAACAATAAAAGCTTTGGGTTTTTAAATCAGAAATACAAAAAAAATTTAGAATTACCACCAAAATCAGATTATATAATGCCTTACTAAGACCCCATCTTGAGTATGTTTCACAAATATGGATTCCCTTGAAAGCCACACATATTGATCATATTGAAAAAGTACAAAAAATATTTTTACCGTACCTTTATGCCACAAAAATTACTTGTACCTTTATAAGATCTCATATAAAACTATGCTCTATAGTTTTAAGATTAAATCTCTTTTACAAAGATATATTTTGTACTCTATTTTAAATAATATTAAGTACGAAGATTGTGATTTGATTGACTATATAAATTTTAATGTGGCAAAGATTAATCTAAGAATCCCAAGTAACAAAAAATTATTTAGTTTAGATCCAAGTAGTATATTTCCTTTTAACAAGATATTGGGTCCTATGATTGAACGTTTACGTTATCCGTAACGTACATGTTAGGCCGAATTTTAACAGTAAAAAGGCAAGTTCGTGTGATGGAAAACTTTTTTTAACACATTACTGTCAATTTGCGCCTATTATAATCTAATTTAACAGTTTTCAATCATACGAACTTGCCTCATTACTGTTAAAACTGGGCCTAACATGTACGTTACGGATAACGTAAACGTTCAATCATAGGACCCAATGGCTGTTACCAATGAGTTTTTTAGCGAGGTCCAAATAGATATCTTTAATGTTAGCCTAAGAAAGTTGAGGACTGTACTAAATTAAGTTCACTAGATATAAAGGTATGTTTTGTTTATAAAGTTCTTGTTACTTAACTCTACATGTAACTACTATTAATTTTTTATAGTATCCAATAAATAAATTATACCTTATGGCTGCTTTCAAACAATTATGTGTGTAGTCACTCAGTTTAAAGTTAATTTTAAATTAATGAGTTTAATAAGAATGTCAAATAGTGATATGTATTGTGTCTATGAATTTGCTGTGTGTAGTAAATGGCAAATAAACATAACTTTGATATTTTTATTACAAGTGTAAAAACTACGCAAACCATATACATATAGTTTCCATTTTTAAATAAATTTATAATAAAAAGTAACGATTTTAGTCTGCCATACTTGAACTCATTCACTAAAACAAGTCACTGAGTATATATTTGTAAAAAAAACTACACTAAATATGTCTCCATTATAAATTTTTATATTTAAAACTACATAGATTTTGCAGTAAGTACCTAAATAAAGTATAGAATAAATTTCTACAACATAGAAAACTTTTAGATTAGAGTCATTCTTAAGAAATAAAGCAAAACCTCTATTTTGTTACTCTAACCTTGTGTGTTATATATTTTCCTTGACAAGCTAACGTTATATTTTGAACTAAAAGTAATTAAACTTTTCACTAAAAAGTAATATTTCACATATATAAAAAAATTTTAAAACGGTTCTGCCTTCTCACATTTGCGAAGACTGCCCTGATATCTAATCTATTTTCTTCTTCAAAGTAATTAAGATGTTCAACCGTTGTCTATAAAGGTATCTCACATCTCGCTCATACACACAAATTTGAAAAGCAGCAGAACAAAAATTCAACTAACCAGGTATACCAAGTCCGTGTAAAGAAAACTTTTCATATCCCGAAAACGTCAAGTGTCAACTAAAATTTCTACTTTTAAAGATCAAACGTGCCGCCTCAGAGTGCCAATACTGATTGGTATATATATACTGGGATACAGATCAGTGGTCACGATACATCCAAGTGGGTAGATTCAGAAACGTTACTTCAATTTCTATTCCTAGCAGCACCGACTGGACTAATGTTTTAGGTGCCAAATTTATAAATATTTATTAAATTAAAACGTTTTTATTGACTTTTTACTATTATTCAGTGTTTAGAATAAATCTTAGGAGGTGTGTAATGCAATAAATTTATAATAACAGGAAATAGACTAATTTTGTACGTTTATAAAAGTTTTAAGAATAATTTATTGTGAAATAATATTATTTATAAAAAACTAAGTTTAAAAATTTTGTAAAAATTCTCCTAGTATAACAATGACATAGAGATTGCATAAAACAATTTTGAAAAATATCTGATGAAACATAATTTTTTTACTTACTTGAATTTTTGAACAAAATATTTTTGTCCTCAAAAACGGTTTACCAGATTTTTTAAAAATTTGCCCATTAGTTATTTATTTGATGAGTATGTTAGGTGAATTTTTTGAAAAATTTTTAACGTAAGATTTATTTTTTGGTCGGATAAGATAAACCTTAAATCTTATACCATTTTTAAGTAATTAAACCTCAAATATCTTAATTAAGTTATAGTTACTGTAAATAAGAAAAAGTTGAAATTATTGAAAATAAGCTATGAAGATAACTATTATGTTCTTTAATGAAATATTCAAGATGGTTTACAACGAGGAAGAAAAAGTAGAGATATTTGACGTTCAATTACTCAAAAACGTTTTAATAATACAGCGGTTATCTCATTAAAAAAATGTTATTATATTCTTTGAAGTCTGCATGACACTGTGTTTTTAATGGCATTTTAACAAAATAAAGTCAAAGCCACACAACTTTTATTTAAATCATTTTTTGTATATGCAATAATAAAGGGTGGGTAATTTATAATGAATAACCCAGAGATTTAAACAAATCAGCTGTATAATGATTCCGAGATTAAGACAACTATGTGGTTTGATTTTGAGATTAAACAGCCACTAATTATTTGGATGTTTGGAAATAAGCAAAAATGATATTTTCCTCAGATAATGTTGTCCAGTTGCAGTAATGATTGTAAAACTGTAACTACTGATTTATATTCACAGACTTGGTCACAATTCCTCAATGTACTGTGCAGATCTGGCCATCAATGATTTGTCTCTGTTGATATTTTTTTAAAGATTGTTAATACGGGTTTTGAGTATCGAATATCGAGTTCTGAAGTGTGAGAAGTTTAGACACCTGTTTCGAGGAGTGAATTAAAAAATGGAGAAGTTTATAAATGCAAAAGGAAAATATTTTGAAAAGCAAATGTCTTTTTTACAAAAATGTAAATTTTTCAGAACAGCCTTTAGTATATGAGAAATAAACAAAAAATATTGTATGTTCAAGAATCAAAAGTGAAGGATTAAAAGTTATAGAAGGGAATAGTGCTAAGAACAAATTAAAAAAACTGGTAAATTGTGTATATGGGGTAGTTTTTTTCATTGCTTACCTAGTTGTCCTTCAATTTGTTGAAAAAAGGAAATATACGATTTACAATCCCTCTTTAACTTTTATTTTAAATAAAAAAAAACTGCTATAATATTTATTGATAACAAGGTAAGAAAAGTTTGTAAACTTTACTACTAAATAAATAAATAAATAAGCCGTAAATTAATGTTAATGAAATTTACGAAAAACATTTACTTTATTTTATAAAAAAAATGAAGCATAGCTCTAGCTGATTTTAGCTCTCGCCAAGCCGACGTTTAGTATTTACATTTAATTGCATTTTTCTATGCCTACAATCAACACAAAAAAAAAAGAAACAAAAATTAAATATCCATTTTAATTACGAAAAATTGTTAATTTCGAAACTACGTTATTTAAATTAATTAAAACCAAATTATAAATAATATCGAAATACTATACCAACCTCCTTCGTCTTCTGAGTCGGACATGAAAGTTTCTTGCATAGCTTCGGGAGCCACAACTTTATACTTTTCTTCAATATTGATGTTGGTCGTTGTGGTAATGTTCGTCTCTGTAACCACTTTCAGTTCTTCCACTACGCTGATATACCCCAGTTTGTTGGCTATACCCAAGGCAGTTTGTCCATTCTGGAAAAATATTCAAATATAGAATACCCAAATTTGAAATCAAAATACAAGAACTATTTCATAATAAAGGGCGTAGATAATTTAATTTAATTGGATAGAGACGATAGACGATACCATTACGTCACGTCAATAACATTTTATTTACATAATATTATAGTAATTGTTTATTTAATCAATGATCTTAAATAAGTATCAAACTTAAATTGGTTTCACATTTCAAATATTTACTAAGTCCATGCATTTGATTATAAATCTAGATGATTTAAATCGGTAATTTCGATGCGAGAAGTGTGTTGTAATGGCATCTTCTCTACCCGAGCCTCTGAACTTCCCATCAGTGGAACGCTACACGATCCTGCCGACCTAATCAAAAATGGCACAGCTCTGCGATGTTTAGCGGCACTACAACGCATGTGCAATAAGGCGTATTTGAAGAAAATTAATCGAACATTACACACACATTTTTGGTTACCTATATCAATTATCAGGACTGGACCGCTTCCTTCGCCCGCTTATTTTTTATTACATTTTCATATCTTGAACTTGCTTGCTCTGAAATTAATGTTAATAAAGCTGTAGTTGAGATATTCTGTGATATGACTAAGGCGTTTGATTGTGTCAATCATACAGTATTGTTGCAAAAACTTTGAGTTTACGGAATCGAAGACCAACCGCTGATAAAATCTTATCTTTCAGAACGTAAGCAAATAGTAAGAACTACTAGCGAATCTCAAGTTTTAAATAAAACTTAGGGAGTCCCTCAAGGTTCTACATTGAGTTCCATTTTATTCCTTCCTTATATAAATGAGTTAATTCAACTTAAGATAGCAAGTGTTTCACTCAATTTGCTGAAGTTTTATGGCAAAGCAATGACCCCTGGTTCTTTATACTTAACACCATATCTTGTGACGTTGGGAAAATCAAAGCATGGTGCGATGTCAACTATGTGTGTCTAAATATGGCAAAAACAAAAATACTAACCCTTATAGAAAGTCATAACATTGAATATAATGATACGATAAAACTACAGGGGCAACGGCCCGGCTTAGCAGGTTCACTATTGTGTATCGATATCTCATCAAGCAGGGTCGCAGTGACTACTTGGATGTGTGCGTATTCAAGGAAAGTCGGCGAATCTTAAAAGCCCAAACAAACTGCCAGCGTAATTGCATACCACAGCTAGCAGGCGCTACACCAATGAGTACAAGGTATAGCTGGGATGTGGCATCTTTGGCAGGATCTCTAAAGCCGTCGGTACAGAGTCCATGGATGTTGGACTTGTTAAAGATCCCTACCTGTGCTTAGAACACCAGAGGATTCGGCTAAATTTCTAGTATTTTGGGGTAGCGTACTTAACAGCGTTGATGTTTAAACATCGTGGTTAGAAATAGACCGACGTTAAATAAATTAATAAAAAAAGACTTCTGGGCATTAATTTAGATAGTAATTAGAAATGTAAGACCCATATAGAATTGTTTTAAACCAGGTAAAGGTGTATATTATGCTCTAGTTAAATATATATATAGAATTGCATTTTGGGGAGATTGTAGGCGAGTTATTTAATACTGTTTTTTGTTTTCAAAAAAGGGCAATACAATTTTTATGTGGAGAGAACAATCTCGACACATTTTGTCAACCCTCTCAAGTACGAGAATAAAGCCACCAATTACTGTCGAAGACATTGGATTTAAAAAAATATGATATGGACATCAATGACATATTTTTAATATATCTTAAGCCCAAACTGAAATTGGTAATGGAACATATATCAGAAAAAAATGTTTTAAGCTCATTATTTTGCATCACCAATAATGAACTTCACAGTTTTAGCGAGAATAATGATATACCTAAAACTCATGCATGTATGTTGTGGAACTGTCCAAATATTAATGTTATATACTCAACCATACGTACATTTAGATGTATTACTGGTTGCATAATAGTAGATTTGAAAAGGTATAACCACCCTTAAATGGTTTAGGTGTAATAGCCAATTAGGTCTGATAATTTAAATATTGTGCCTAATAAATGAAGAGGGGAACTTCCCTTTTTGTTAGAACCGAAGTAATAATAAAAAAGGGTTAAATCAAAGATTATATTGTGTGAAGATAGTGGACGTTCATGAGGCACATTCAAATTAATGTCAACTAATTTAGTTTTACATAATCCTCTAATCGGGTTCCTCAACTCACTGCCTAACAAATTAGTGTTAAAAAGTTTTGTTAATTGTGATAATATTCAACAACTGAAAGGTAATGTAATGTAAAATAAAAACTGTTAAAATAAAGTGAGAGTTGGTTTGACTAAAACGTCCTCCCCTAACGAGAGTGTTGGAGTAACCAATGAGAAGATCCCAACATATGTAATATATTTACAATTAATTTCAGATAAAATGAGTACATGAACAAGCAAATATAATAGTTATTTCTCAATGTAGTTGCGCCATTTATATACCTGTTATTAAACAGCAACAATTAGCAGGTACAGCAACAATTAACAGGTCCTACCCAGATGCCTATTGAAAAACGTAGGTATAGCTATATAAACAAAACCTATTTGGTTTTTTATGCACGTGTTTTATGTGAAACAAACTAAACATATTTTTACTTTAACCGTAAAATAATCCATTCAGTTAATATTAACAAAATCGGGCATTAATTGGCCTCATTAATGGTATACTTTCTATTAATAACCATTTATCTATGACTATATTTGTATTGTTGTGAACTACCCTTAATTAATAAAGCAAATTGAAAAGTCAAACATTGACATTTGTACGAAATTTGAAGCTTGATTAATAATTTTTATAGAGATTCGGTCGCCGAAAAAATCTTGTAACGAACTTATATTAAAAGGCGATACATACACTAAGTCGTTAAAAAACAATGAAATTTATATACCTACATCTGTACTTTAATACTGATTAAAATTACATGAGAGACCAGCGCTGAAGGAAATTTTTGTTAGTGAAAATCAAAACTTCTAATTAATCAAGTAATAATTTTGGAAATAAATCCGGCATTATTTAATGACGCAGTATCGTCTAAAAACTACTCAATGCGCATGCTCAGTAGTACCGCAACAAACTTCTTATTGGTGCCAAAAGTGAATTATGATACTGTCGATATACTGGATGTATATGATCCGAGGGGACCCTAGAATGCCAAGATTTGATACAATTCCTTGTATAAATTTAAATTATATAGTATCATACAATAAATTGTTTTAAAAATCGGATTGTATGAGATATTGTACAAGTTCTTACAAGTTGATATATCGAGTTACATGGCTTCGACATCCTAACTCGTAGATTTGAAGTCAATCAAATTCCGACCTCCGTCGGCGCAAACACAACTCATAATCCTTACTCAGCTCTCAATTCTTCTTAAAGCCACTCTTGTGAAATCTAATTATACTAAAATAAATTTCCAAGATCCTTCATTTGTTATAATCCTTATTTCTTCTAGTACAATTAGATTGTCATCTTTCTACCGATGTCACAAGGGTGAATTTAAAAAGAATTGAGAGAGCTGGGATGTAATTAGAAATTGTGTTTGCGCCGACGAGTCGGAAGACGATTAACTTCAAATCTAAGAGTTCAAATGTCGAAGCCATGTGCCTCGATAGTTCAACTGGTAAGATCATGGACGATGGACGGCTACAGTTTGAAGGTTACAGGTTCGATCTCTGGTCGATACACTCATTTCTTCTTTTCTTTCTTTCTTTAACTCTCCGCTTTTTCAATTTTTCATTAGTTTGTTTTCACTTTGGGAGTATGGGGTTTATTTTTCATAATTTCGTAGAAGAGGATGAGGATTATTCACTTTTATATTTCCAAAATTGCATAATCTTAATTGTATTTGCTGCAAGTATCAATTTGTTTAATGTTTTTATGTTGCTGAAAGTGAATATTTTACTTTTTAATGTTGCTCAGTTTCATCTAGTAGCTCTTCGCTTATTATGTTTAACATATCTTAGTCATTGTGCAATAGATAAAATATTTTCAAACCAAAAATTTCTTGTTTTAAATATTATACAAGAAATTGTATCAAACAAGAAATTATGGTATAATATAAAACAGTCTTCACTGATGTTAGGAAGTTCAAGATATTATTGCCTTTACTTTGAAAAATACCACAAAATAGTAAAACATTTTTTATAGATAAATACACTAACTGCACAAACTTACACTTGTTAGTGCATTAGGATCAGCCTTATTTTTCAACAGCAACGTAATAACCAAGACGTGTCCCTGCTGAGCGGCTTGGTGAAGAGGAGTATAACCAGCAAGGGTAGTGGGATTGACGTCAGCGCCTTGATCGATGAGCAGGCGAACCATATTGACGTGACCGTGATGACAAGCGACGTGTAGCGGTGTGTAACCCTGCTTGGTTTGGGCGTCCTTTTGAGCTCCGGCTCTCAAAAGAAGTTGACCTACCGGTACTCTGTCCTCTTGAGCGCAGAGATGGAGAGGGGTTAGTCCATTCTGAAAAAAATTATTATAATTTTTAGTTGGTTGAAGAAAATGTATTCGTAATCCGTATAGTGGCGAGGAAATAAACAAATGTCAAAAAATCTTTTTCTTTGCAATATGCGTAAATTTTTTAAGAATAAAATGGACATTATTTGTTCTTATTAAAAATTACAGTTGCATGGAACATGTAGATATATGCTTACAAATAAAGATATAAATCATAATATACATCATGATATATTAAAAATAACAAAAGCAGATATATCATAAAATGAGTGAGACAATAATAATGTTCTTAATGTTTTCTTAAAAATATTTACAGAGCCACTATTTTTGATATGGCTTGACAACTTATTGAATAATCTAGAACCAATATAGTTTGGCGCCCAAAAATGTAATACCTCTACATGGCTTTTGAAAATTATAAAATCTAATAAATTTTGTTTTGTTAACAATGGAATTATGGGAGTTGACCGAGAAGACAGTAAATGCAGTAGAAAACTAAAGTTTTTGAAATTGATAATAAAGTTTTCTATATAACGCAAACTTTTGAAATACACTGTAGATATAATAATATAGAAATAGTTTAAAAAAGCGTGCCAACATTTAGTTTACTAAACCAATCTTCCAGCAAGTTGGATATCCAAAGACAGCTTATAACGTATTAACTTAATGATGACTATGATGATAAAATGTTTAACAGGTGACTTAAAAACATGGTTTATTTCAACTCCTCTCCCATAGACCAACTTGCGTATTATGAAATAAAAGGAAATAAACTACTACCCCGTGCCTATAAACCATCGGGACCGCTTCCATACTCTCTGCTCCACCGAACATTCCTCCATTGTCCTATTATCGGTCACAGGAATTCGGTATAACTTCAAATATGACTTAGGACCGCCTTCTCCAACAAGTTTTTCATGATTATTCCACAATCATTTTCAAGTCCCGTATCGACAAACCACCTCTGTTTCCGCCCTGGTAAATATACTTTCAACTTCCACATAAGTAGTCAATGTTATCTAAAAACTGAGCTTGCATGCACTTCTTTGTGTGCATGATTGAATTGGAGTGATGCCAGGTGGGAATTATTTGGAGCTGCTCATGGATTTAAAGGGTTAACTTGAAAATAATAAGTTCGTAAAGCACATGTGGATAGGGAGAACAATCGAGTGGCCTGCGCAGTCACCAGACTTTAAGCAGTGCGATTTTTGCCTGTGAGAAGTACTTAAAAGTGTTTGCTACCTCACTACGAATATCAACAAAAATTGAAGAGGAATTTGACGCTCTTCGGGGGCAACTTAAATTAAAACAAAAATGAGCAGTAAATAAGCGGTACCATATTTACATTGAAGAAGGTGGTAGACAGTTTGAAAACAAAATGTAACATTTAAATCGTCATTACTTGTATGTACAATAAACCAAGTTTTTGTACGCTATTCTTTTAAGGCCCTGTATAATATTGATGTTAAAACTTAATTAAAATATATATTATTGAAAAAATTATAATTAGGGTTTATAGCAAATATCTTAAGATAATTTTTATATTAGAAAATCTTTCGTAGAGTGAAAATTGCGATAAACAAAAATGATAATTTATTTTTTTTTCCATTTTAAATCACTATTAAAAGAGGACTCTTGAAATAAAAGTAAAAACTATTTTTGTCATTTTTGTATTATAGTCGGAACACTGAAGATGTAATTTTCAAAACAAAACGCAATCAAAACAGAAAGCTACATCGAGAGTAGTACGCAAGACTTCGTCCCCTGAACAAAAGATGGCAGCTCCGGCGCATTCGACATCACCACGTAACTATGAATAATGAATATTGGTAACGTGTTTAAATAGTGATCCTTGTCTTGGGGAGCTGAGTCTGTCAATGATCGTTTAGTGAGCCAACTCTGCTGAAGCCAAGTAATAAATATATCGCACCCAAATAATTTTTTGAGTGCAATTTTTGGAAGCGCCCTTCTACTTTATGAAGGGCCAAAAAAATAAAAAGTTCAAAAATAAAATTTTCTCAATTATCAAAAAGAAAAAGTTAAACTTTTAATTCTAGAAAAAAAAAGATGTATGTGTTTTGAAGCTTATTTTTTTAACTTTGTTTTTTGCAAAATATCTAATTTATAATTATTGTATTGGTGGCTTGTGTATTAAAATATCTGCTCAGTACAAAATTTATATGACATACTATCACACTATTTATTTTACCCATTCAGATAAACTAATGTATACAGGGTGTCTGTAAATGGCTAAATTTTTTATTATTAATTTTATAAAAAAAGTCTTGTTTCGCTTAGAAATCAAGAATTAAATTTATAAAATATTTAGTGGTATTATACCTCTACAATAGATGGAAAATAAAAAATATTAACTGAATGGTAAAGTACTTTAAAAATTAGATACCTAATAAAATGCCATTTAAAAATGTTGAAAAGTACAATAAACATTTATTGAATAATTTATATTATAAAGAATAAAATTATAAATAAAGGAAAATTATTTTCTTAATTATAGAGAAATCAAGATTAATTAAAAATAAATGCCACTGATTCTATTTGTATGGCCATAGATCTAAACATACATAATTTTCAGTTCCTATCAACATTTTTAACGTCTATTTTTGTTTTGTTTATATTTGCATTTAGAAGTACTTTACTCTTCTAAATATTTTATAATTATTAAACGAAGTGAATAATTTACCTTTATTAAGGCTTTACAACATTAATATTAATTAACATAAACTATTGAGTAAATCAACCTGACAACGCTGACTGAAATAACAACTTGACAATTTAGATCAAATACAGTGAGTCTCAAATATTGTAAATTGAATTATTAAATTCTATGACATTCTTCCTTGCTGGATAATGTGAATTAACTAGTGACGTAGTCTTTTAAATAAGACGGAGGACGTCGTTCACGCATAGTTCTTCTTGCAGATTGCTGAGCTTCATGCATTGGGGTAGGAACGGAAACATCCGTCATGTGATCTATGGTTTTAGTCGGAGTGGCAGTTTGAATTGGATTGATAGTTTGAGTTGGAGTAATAGTTTGAGTGGGAGTAGTAATTTGATTAGGAGTGGGAGAATTAGTTTCTAAAGTAATCTGAGTGGGAAAATGTGTTTCTAATGTTTTAGTGCTTTCATTTGTTTGCAATGGTTCTTCAAGTGCATTCTCTATTGGTGCAAGATGTCTTGTAGATACAGTTGTTTCTCTTCCATCAGGTAACCTAACGTATGAATATTCAGGATTGCCTTCCAATAATAACACTTCTTCAACCAGAGGTTCGTACTTTGATTGACGAACTGGTCGCTTCATTAAAACAGGTCCAGAATTCATCAGCCATGAAGGTATTGTTACACCATTGCTAGATCTTCTAGAGAAATTAAACATTCTTTCATGTGGTGTTGCGTTTGTCGATGTACATAATAATGAACGGATAGAATGTAGAGCTTCTTGATAGACTATTTCCCATTTAGTAATGTCAAGTTGGCGACTTTTAAGTGCTAATTCGATGGTCTTCCAAATGATTCCAACATATCGTTCACTTTGACCATTACCTTGTGGATTATACGCTGTGGTTCTACTTGTAGCAACACCAAGATCATAAAGAAATGATTTAAGTTCACGCGACATGAAACTTGAACCTCGATCAGAGTGTAGATAAGCAGGTGTTCCGAACAATGTAAAAACCTCTTTAAGTTTTGTAATGACAGTGCTAGCAGACATATCTTGACATGGGAAAGCGAATGGAAATCGTGAAAATTCATCAACTAAAATAAGTAAATAACGATTTCTTGATGATGAAGGCAATGGCCCTTTGAAATCCATATTAATTCTCTCAAAAGGTTGAGTTGCTTTGATAAGATGACCATCGTGTTTATGAAATCGAGGTTTTATTATAGTACACACATGGCAACTTGATATTATATTTCGTATATCTTCCAAAGAAAAAGGTAAGTTCTTACTTCTTACCCAATGGTACATCCTTGTCTGTCCAGGGTGACATAGAACTTCGTGTAACCTACGTAGCTGTGATAAATTTTTTCCAATCGAAGAACAAATTCGGGATAATGCGTCAGCTGTCATATTTTCTCTTCCAGGTCTATAAATAATTTCATAGTTGTAACTTGACAGTTCCAGTCTCCATCATGATTTTTTCATTCTTTATTTTCCCTGGATGATTTCTATCAAACATGAAGGAAACGGAACGCTGATCTGTTATAAGTCGGAAGTATCTGCCAATAAGATAATGTCTCCACTTCCGTAGCGCTTCCACGATGGCGTAAGCTTCCTTTTCAATAGAGGAATGATGTATTTCTGATTTAGAAAGCGATCTCGAAAAAAAAGCGATAGGTCGATTGTTCTGGGATAGGGTAGCTCCGATTGCATGATCAGAAGCATCTGTCTCCACTACGAACATAGCTTGATCATCTATCGATGAAACTACAGCATTTTGAATGTCTAGTTTTAATTCCTCGAACACTTTTATTGATTCACAGTTTAGAGGGAACGAAGTTCTAGTTAGATGCTGTATTTTACTAGCAAATTGGGGAATAAATTGAGCATAGTGTGAAAACATGCCAAGAGCTCTTCGAAGTGAAGCAGTATCATTAGGGATTGACAAATTACGAATAGGTTGAAGACGCTCAGGATCCGGCTTTATAGATTTATGACTAATTATATACCCTAGAAGATGAATTTCTCTCATTGAGAAAGAACTTTTTTGCATATTAAGAGTTAAATTGTATTTTGTTACAGCATCCATAAATTTTTTTAAATGTTTGTCATGCTCATCTTGATTATTTCCACAAATTGTTATATCATCTAAGTAAACCTGAACACCATCTAGACCTTCAGCCGAAATTATACTATTCATAGCACGTTGAAATGCAGGAACGCCATTTCTTACTCCAAACGGAATTCTTGTGAATTGGTATAGCTTACCACAAGCTTCAAACGCTGTATAAGATTTGTCTTTTTCACTGATTGGTATCTGATAGTATGCATTTCGGAGATCAACAGAACTGTATAACCGATAAGAGGCAACTTTATTGACAATGTCGTCAATTCGAGGTAACGGGAAGGCATCTAAATCTGTATATCGATTAATTGTTTGAGAGTAATCAACAACCATTCTACGACGATGATTTTCTGATGATACTACCAATACTTGTGCTCGCCAAGGTGAAATACTTTCTTCTATTATTCCTTCTTTTAGTAATTGTTGGTATGTCTACGAGATTTAGTAGAAATTGGACGACAGTTAGGTGATAGATTTGTGAAAAGTTGTGCTGGCTCCAGATTAGCTACTGCAACATTGCATATATTAAGAGGTGCTTCTTCTCCACCGAATTGTACTTGTACACAAGAATGTCGTTTTAATATATCATGTCCAATAATAATATCTGAACAGAGATTTGGAAGAATACTAACTATGAGGTCTTTGTAGTCATGTCCTTGTAGATGAAGGTTTATTTTGGATCGTCCCTTGATTGAAGAATAAAGAGAAGTAGAAGCCATAGATACTTTCTCGCTTTTACTCGGAATAATAGGAATATTGAGTTTGTGAACTGTATTTTCACTAATAAAACTAGCAGAGCTTCCTGTATCTATCAGTCCAAAAGCCATAGAACCATTTATAGAAACAGAAACAATTGCATTTTTCAAACAAGTCGGCATGGAAGCTATACAATTAGAATAATTATTGGACAGATTTGATCTGCCAGTCCTATTCTTTTTCTTACAGACCTTTTGCCAGTGTCCTTTAGTACCACATGATCTACAAATTGCATCTCTAGCAGGACATTCGGTTCTATAGTGCTTTCTTAACCCGCAAAAGTAACAGTTTATAGCAGCTACCGTTGTTTTATAATCAACAGAATCAGATGTAGATATTTTGTCAGCTTGGTCGTTCGATGTAATTGAAGTAGAAGGTGAATTTTTACTAGCCACCGCATTGATCGAGGGAGTTAAATATTCTTGAGATTGATGTTGTGCAACTTCAAAAGATCTTGCTTGTTTGAAGGCGTCATCTAAACTTAAAGTCTGATTTTCAAGTAATCTCTGTCGAATATATGATGATTGCAGACCATCTATGAATGTATCGCGAATACTTTCATCTCTGTTAATTTCTGCAGTAACAGCTTTAAAGTTACAGTCTTTAGCTAGGCGTTTGAGAGATTCGAGATACCTGTCAATCGTTTCTCCAGATTCCTGGTGCCGGGTCTTAAGTTTATGTCGAGCAAAAACTTCATTTACTGGTTTTATATAAATGTTCTTTAAAACGCTAATTGCATCACTGTAAGTTCCGCATTTACTTACATATTCGTAAACAGATGGAGATATAAAGTTCGTTAGTACCTTTAGTATATCTGTATCTTGTATATCTGATGAAGAAATAAAGTTACGAAAGGTTTTAAACCAGTGATTCCATTCCTGAGAAGCGTTTGCGTCATCTGGATTGAGGTCAAATCTTTGAGGACGTAAAATGCGATCCATTGTATATTAATGTTGTAAATTGTTGTAATTATTAAACGAAGTGAATAATTTACCTTTATTAAGGCTTTACAACATTAATATTAATTAACATAAACTATTGAGTAAATCAACCTGACAACTCTGACTGAAATAACAACTTGACAATTTAGATCAAATACAGTGAGTCTCAAATATTGTAAATTGAATTATTAAATTCTATGACAATTATGGATTTCAAAAAGACGCTCTAGAGCGGAAAAGCTTTCAAATAATGAAAAACCTCGGAAAACAACTTTCATTTCAGATTCCAAAGTGTTTTGATGTGCACGAAATGTTATTTTGAGGGTTGAGAATGAGAGTGTTTTGTCCAGGCCAAGTTTCAAAACCATTCTGGTGATATTTGGTTTTCAAAGTTTGTTTTTTTTTTTACAAAAAAAGGTTATATCATTTTTAAAAATGCCTTTAGGGAGGAATTTCTTTGGAACTATTTTTAAAAGCAAATTACCACAATTCATGCTATCAAACCGAAAATATTATTTATATAGTTATTTTGATACTATTATACAGGATGTTTCATAAGAAATGGCCAATATTTTGGTTATTTTATTACTTAAAACATTGTCTTGAAATTTGGTAGGGTCATGTTTTTGGGGTTATACATACATTATAAATTTATTATCTATTTTAAGATTAGATAATCACATACCCTCTTATGGACGAAGAAAAGTATCCCTATTTTTAAATAAATAAGGTATGGTTTTAATAGCACTTATTTTGAACAAATTAGATTTAAAAGTTTCTCAATTTAAATTATTGGACACTATTTCAATACAGTTGGTTTTGTAATTTACAACAAAATTATTTTGCTAATTCAGAAATTATTTTTTTAAATTAATTCATTCAGATTAAAAAAAGGGAGAAAAACAAAATGTATGCTAAAATAAACACACTTAATATTTAGTCTACATACTGCCTTGAGAACATTTTCATTATTTCTTGAAATGGCTTAAATTTATTCTATTAAAACAAGTATTTAAATTTACAGGGTGTGTCATTAAATTGAAATAATTTATTACCCCAATAACTAAATACTGCTAAATATCTTAAACAAAAAAAAGGAAACAAATTTTATATCTAAGTAGTGTCCCATTGATGCGTAATTGCCTGATAAATCAATTTGTGTTACAGACACACAAACAAGTTTCAAATAAGAGTTACAAGGATTTTAAAAAGGCATATTTTAAAAATATTTTTGGATATACACTTTTGCCTGACAAATAAAAATTTATGTTTTAAATGGAACACCCTGTCTTTTATTTCAGTTTCAGAATGGTCTAATAATACTCTATTCAACGTTAAAATATTTTTGAAAAATATTACACAGGTTGCCAAGCAATTAATTATTTTGTAAAATTTCAGAATGATACAGACCCTAAATTAAATTATCATAATTTAAGTAGTATAGCAATGATTTTAAAATTGTTTTTAATACTGACTTAAAGATACCATGCTAACTAATAGAGCTAATAGAAGTGGTTTATTTTATACAGAGTGTCTTGACTATGGGTAATTTTAAGTTCTATTTACTCAATTTTTTAAATGGAAACCCCTGTATATTATTTTAGCATACAATCCCTTATACATTTACCTATCCAACGATAGCAACAGATTAGCCAATTATACAGCCAATTATAAGTTTATTTTTTTAAATGGCTTTAGAAATCTTGGTCAGTTACAAAACTACAAATGGGTACATCTAATTCCTTTCTGTAATTCTTCAAATAAAACAATTCTATTTTCAACTAAATTCTTCTGAAAATAAAAACGTTTTGTGTTCTTATTATCATTAGTAGCTCTAGGTTACATAATTTAAAACATTTAGATAATTACAGGTAAAAATTAATGACAATTAAAAACAAAAGAACAAAAGTCTAAAATTTTTGTTAACCCATTTTCTAAAATAATGAATGGTTTTTTGTTTTCCCGACGCGAAGTCACAAAAATGTGTTCTGGTATAAGGAATGCAAAAAAAATAAAATTAAATAAATTAATTGATTAATTAATGGATAGTATAACATACAGGGTATTCCAATTAAAAAAAAAGAGAAAATCGTAACTTTGAATTTTGACACACCCTGTTTACAATATAGCAAATGAATAAAGTCTATTAAAATTCTTTGACGATGTGAAAATAATCAAACATGTGTAACTATCTACAGGATGTTTTGCTTTAAAAAAGTATAAGTTCGGTCAGCCTCTCGTTTATGAACCATCCTCTATATTTAAGAATAATTGTTAAATATGGTCATACACAACTTTAATATTAAAACTGTCTTCGTATTTCCAATAATAGAACAGCTCTCGATGAATTACTCACTGATGGGACACCCTATATATGTATAATTGGCTAACCCGTTGCTATCGTTGGATAGGTTAATTTATAAAGAACTTTATACTAAAAAAATTGAATTTAAAATTAGCCATATTTAAGACATGGTTCAAGACACTCTGTACAAAATAAACCAGTTATATTACCACTATTTATTAGCTTGGTATCTTATAAGTTTGTATTTAAAACAATTTTGAAATCATTGTTAACCTACCTAAATTATGATAATTTAATTTGGGGTTTGCATCATTCTGAAATTTCACAAAATAATTAATTGCTTGGTAAACCTGTAATATTTTTAAAAAAACATTCTAGGATTGAATACAGTATTACCAGACTATTATATTTTAAAAATATACATTTTTATCTGCCAGGCATAAACGTAACACCCTGTATATTCAAAAATATTTTTAAAATCCATATAACTTTTATTTGAAACTTGAAATATCGAATAATTACGCACTAAATATTAATTAATTAATTAATTAAAATATTAATATTTCGTCCTGAATCTAGGAATAAAATATTGGCATTTCCTTATAAAACAAATTATTATTATTGATATTAAAAATGTATTATATTACCTTAGCAGAGTGGTTGGGGTTTGCTTGATGCTCCAACAATAAAGAACACATATCAGAGTGACCTTCTTGAGAGCTGAGATGTAAAGGTGTGAAACCGGCTTTAGATTCCGCATTTGCCTGAGCGCCATATTCTAGAAGAGTGGTGGCAATGTCCATCTGAAAAACATAAAATCATACACATAATAATATATTTATGTCAATTTTAGATACATCCTATGTGACTCTTAGAACATAGAAAATGAAGCTACTTATTGTATGTAACTTAGCTACACCCTGTAGTATGTCACCTACCTCACCATTTTATTAAAGAAAAGTAACATTTATATTATATTTAAATTCCACCAAATATTATTTATGTTATAATATACATGTACAAGATAAAAAAAATATTCCATGGGAATTAGACTCGAAATAATAAAAACTAATTTTTATAAATACGAAATCCTGGCCCAGAGAGCATACACCACATCGTTATATACAAATGATAAAATGAGTATGAATATCCAATTCCGGAGAACTCGTTATTCAGTTGATTTCAAAATTCAACTCAAATATCCAAACTATCGACGCTTCCCCAATCCGATGCTTCTCTACAAGATGCTTTTTCTACCCGACGCTTCTTCTATCCGACCTTTCTACGTCCCGACGCATCTCCTATCGACGCTTCTACGTCTCTGCGCTTCTCCGATCTGACGCTTCTACGCCCCGACACCAGGGTCCATTATTTCCAAATAAACAACGCTTCCATGTATCAAATAGAACTATAGAAATATCAGAAATAGAAACAGACGATGTACGTCCAACGGTCAAACAATGCGATGGTGAGTTAGGAAATTTATTATTATATTTTCATTCTGCCTCCTCCCCTGTGTACGGGCCAGGCCTAAACCAAAGAGTAAAATTTGCCTATACAGTAGTTGATAAAAAACCTGATCAAAATTCCTTTAAAAAATACAATTTTAATTTAAGAAAAAATTCGTTCTTACTTGATTTTTCCTGGCCGCAATATGCAACGGCGTGTGTCCATTCTTGGCGGTGGCGTGCGGGGAAGCCCCCTTATCCAAAAGTAACAAGGCGACGGGCTGATGGTCGTAGTGCGCCGCGACGTGCAAAGGCGTCACGCCGTTTTTTCCTTGAGCGTCGGCGGGCGCGTCGCGTTGAAGTAGCAGCCTAGCGACGTTCAGGTGGCCGTATTTGGACGCCAAGTGTAGAGGCGTGAACCCTTTTTTGGTCGTAGCTGTTAAGTCGGCGCCGTTGTCGAGTAGAACTGAAGCGACCTAAAAAGAAATAAACGGTTAGGAATTTTTATGGGAGGAATTTTATTATTAAAAATTGCATTAATTATCGCAATATTATTTATTACCAATTTATCATAGGACATTATTGACCTACTAATCACTTTAATAGCCTAATTCATAAAACATCTTAAATTAACCCACCTGTAAATTCTTAAAGATAGAAACGTCATAATGAATGTTTAATAAAGTTGGGCAATATTTCACGAATTGGTTTTTAATTATTTAAGCTTGGTAAATAGACATTCTTTACATGTTTTTATATTGATTTCATAAATATTTTCCACAAAAATATTAACAAACATTTAATTTGTTGATGATTTGAGGAAACGTAATCTCATTTATTTGAATTTTACCTTAGACTAGGAAAAACGGGATGAGTAACTCGTTTTTCAGACCGCAGGGGGGCTATTTTCAAAGTATGGGAGTACTCATTTCTCTCAAGATTCTCATCAGAAATGTCATATGTCAATGTAGAAACCCTGTTTTTAAAGGCCTCAAGGATTAAAATTCTTAGGAGGATATTAATTATCTTTAAATAAACCGTGAGAAACAATCAGTGAGTTCACACTGGCCCTTAGGACCCTAAAAATTACTGTTTTACGTTGACGTATGACATTTCTCTCGAGAGAAATGAATTCTCTCGATTTTGAAAATAGCCCCCCAGAGGTGTGTTACCAAATTTCGATCGGGCGCCATTTTTTTGGTGCCAGAGAAACCGTGGTGCTATTTGTCTCTTTTGGTTGTTTTTTTTGACGAAAAGTGATTACAGGTAAAATATATTAGACAAATAACACGACTATAAACCTTTTAAATTGCTTACTATTTCAAATAAACCATATTGTCGTGAAACCACCTCAAGCTGATACCGCAGGACAGAGACAAAAGCACTCCTTAGAGAAGCTAGCGGAGAAATCGTTGCGCGGCGGCTGAATTATAGAGAAAGAAATTCCAGAGTTTCTAGACGGTCGAGAATGTACTAGTGTAGAGCTGGCTTTATATAAATAGCGTGAGTTTGTCGGTAGAAGTTAAGTTTCAATAGAAGTGTTGGATAGTAAAGACAAATTGTAATAAATAAATGAGTATTAATAAGTGAGTATAATAGTGCGTAAATATTAAATAATTTAATTACTACGTTATAAATTATAAATAAACTGTTTTTATTAAATATACTATTTTTAAATTAAACAATCCTTACAATATTGTTTGATTACAATATAATTTAAGAATAATTTATCAAAATTTGAGGGTAAATAGTTGATATTTTCATTCACTGCAACCTTAAAAATGTTGAATAATGTTACTGCACTGACTTTCCAAAATAACCCAGTAAAGTTTAGTAGTAGTTTATACATAAAGCACAATTTTAAATTTCAATAATTATTAATACAAAATGGGTTTGTTTTCACATATTTTCATTACTAATTGTCTGTTTTACATTTTCTCTGAAGTATCCAGAAAGAAAAAATTTATTATTGAAATCGAGACATTGTTCATTTTTAATTAATTTCTGGTGTCTATCTCTGTCTAAAGCTTAGACAGAGAAATATATATTTTATATATGCGTTTAACATTTGGTGACAAACGGACGCATATTGCAGTTTTACTAATCTACTCTTGAAGATTTACGGTCAGTAACTTCGTAAATTAGGCAATTATTTTAATAGCTGAAATATGCAAAAGATAATAGATGAATTCTTGTTGAAAAAAAAAAAAAAAGATTTTACCTCTTCTTGTCCTTCTTTGGCGGCAATATGAAGAGGGGTGTATAGATCTTTAGTCGTAGCATGAGGTTGGGCTCCGTGTTGGAGTAATAACATAACAATATCAACATTTCCTAATCTAGAGGCAACATGGAGTGGAGTCTGTTCTTCTCTTGCTTTCGCGTCGACAGCTGCGCCATTCCGAAGGAGTATTCTTATAATATCGGTCTAAAACAACAAAACAACGTGTCACAAAAGATTAAATATATGTCAATTATCATCAAAAGTATTGTGTCAGTAGACGTCTGATGAATAGAAGTGTGTTTGTTTAGGATTCGGATGCTGAAAAGGAAACTTACCTGATTGGCTCTGGCTGCTAAGTGCAAAGGAGTTTCACCTCTAACTGTGGGTATGTCGGGACTAGCATCGTGTTGTAATAAATAAATAACAATGTTCATGCAACCCATAAAACTGGCTACATGAAGGGGAGTCAAGCCACTTTCAGTTGTTGCTCCAATACCTAAACAAACAAAAAAAAAAAAAATAAGAAAAACATATAAAGAGACAAAACATAATTAGCAAATCGAATTTTAATACCCGGTCTTCTATTTCTATAATGGTATTAAGTGATGGTGCAGGTATTTTCCGAAAAGCGCACTCTGCTATAAAAAGATGAAATGAAGGAAGTAGATGTGGACTAATACACCACAACAAGTCGATTTAATGAATTCTTATCAACAGTTTTAATTTCTATAAAAAATTACAGATTATATCGATAGCCTTTTGCCAGACTATCGTAAGTTCCATTTAAACAAATGTCTCTTACGTTAGTCTGGCAAAAAGGTATCGATATTATCACTTTGTCCAAAGGCTTTAAGTATATTGTAAACATGAAATTCATTAAATCAGGCTTTTATCACTTGTATATAGACTCCATTTCAATAGAAAGTATAGCTGACTGCTGAATCACAGTAATAATTGTAATACGCGCGAAAGTGTCTTCATAGTCAGTGTCATATTGTAACATTTTTATTCTCAAGAGCATTTATGGGCTTCGGGCCGGAGGATGTATAAAAAAGTATACAAGAACCTGCAATGGCTCCAGGTCAAAATGACTACTGACATGTTCTAATTGATCTGACAAAACTGTATTCTTTAGACATTTGTCAATGACGTTAGTTGAGATGACAACATTTTTAAAAACTTTTTAAAAGTTTAAATCAAAATTTGTATGGTTTATTGTAGTATAATGGTATATTAAGGTAAAAAAAATATATTTAAGCATTTTTAAATGTGTTTCAGAGGGTCTAAAATGGCTCAAAAAAAACCGCGAAAATTTAGTCCTTTCGGATTTTTCCTTAGTGTTGACAAAAGAATGCTCCTTATTTCATTAGTTTATGCTTTCGTATATTATTTAAATTTTCACACTATGTGCACGTTGAGCCAAGTGCGCCCGAACACCGACCAGTCGGACGTGGGATCCACTTCGCTGAGAACATTACTAGGTGAGTTCGGGCTACGCACTCTTTTCATTTAATTTACTCCTAAAGTACCTAAGGCGTTCGGGAATGGAAGAAGTTAAAATAAAAGTTACTTTTTAACCGTTCGGAGATCATGGAATGGAGTGTGGATAAGGCATGCGCATAAGGTGATTTAAATCGATAATAAGATAATTTTTACTGATTCTTTAGTAAAAACGTTTTTTTTTTTGTTCTCGTGAATATCTTTAATATGGAAGAAACTTATACGGTTGTTACCTTAGAATATGTTCTAAGGTTGTTACTGATAAGTACGATTAGATTTTAAGTACTGGTATGTCACATTGACAACTGACATTGCACTCTGAGAGTAAAAGGAGTAAAATCACATGTTCACTCCGTTTACGCCTAATTACTCCACTCCACTCTGGTGTAATAATTGGCATTATTATCATTTCAAAAATATAAAGAAATTACCAAAAATTCTAAATAAGTATTTTAATGTTTTAAATTAAAAAGGAAGACACGTATGATAATAAAATAAACAATCAGGTTATTAATCTAGTCAATGGCTACATTTAGCGTGACATTTTTAAAAAATACAACCATCACGTAAATTTTGGTTTATATAGAAAGGAAACAGAAAGAAAGGCCCTCTCGAGTAAACACTCTCAATCGAGTTCGGACTAAGGTCCAGACCTTTCGCCTAGGGCGGAAGATCTCGTTTTTTTTGGGACTCTTTAAGTTCCAAAACAATGTGATGTGTACAGTAAAGTTTTGTGTACCATTTGTAAATTATGGGTAAATATTTTTAACTTAATTTTAAAATGTTTTGTTTAATAATAATTGATTGATTTACATATAAATGCTAATTTTACATTTTCGCCCCGAATTATCATATTTATCTTATGCATAATTTTATATTATTATGTAGTTATAGGGCTTTACTCCCTAAATGGACTTTTATTAATTTTTTTCTTAAGACTATTGCTTTCCAAACCAGTAAAATATTCCGAGCATTTGAGAAGCGTTGGCGTTTATATCCCCTTAGGACTAAAAGAGTCTAAGACTAGTTGCCAAGAACCGCTCGACTATGCTATTAAGGGATAATTTTTATTCTTTTAATTTTATTTTTTTATTACATTTTTATTTGCCACTGGTCAATGGATGTTCCTTCTGGACTCCAGGACCCTTTGGCTGGTGACGGCGCTGCCCTAATCCCTTAATAGTATATTAACAACAGTAGCTTAAGACCTATCAGTAGTTACAAATGGTCTTTAGTGTTACGGGTTAATTGTAAAAATTTAATTAATTTAAATTTGAATATCTTTTCTGGGAATAATTTAAAACAAATAGTAAATTTACCTGTTTTCCAATAAGCTGACACAAAATAAATGAAGGCAAAGTAAAACTATTAACTTTATTCGGGATATTATTCTAGTACAAAGTATAACAATTTATTTCAAATGTTCTAATCCCATCATAATTCTTCTTAGTTCACTAAAAGGGTCTTTTCTATCTTCTTATAGTGACTTTCCTGAAAAATAAAAATAAATATTAAACCCTGAATAAATTAATAACAATAAAATAACCTTTAGAATTTCAAAGGTTCAAAGTTCAATGATTCTTCTTTTCTTCTCATACATAAAAATTGTCAATTAGCGAACTAAAACTTCTCAGGTAAACCTACAACCAGATCTTTTCTATAGTCTTACCTCTAGACTAACAAGACCGGCTAAGGTCAATAACAAAAAAAGGAACTATTTTTGGAAAGCTTTGTTTTTAGAACGCACATTTTGGTTCGTGAAGAACGTGCTCGCATTATTGCGGATTTTTACATAAATTTAGAATATATTAGTGAATATTTCAATATTTACGAAAACTAGTAAATATCACATCACTGTGGATATAATTTTCATAATTATTCTTAGATTTAGAATTTAAAAACTTCGACTTTATCGAAGCCACTTGGAGGCCTCACGCCACGCCAAGGTGAGTCTTATAGAAATAACTTCTTCAAAATATTCTATTTAAAATTTACTCTGGTTGTTAAAATGTAAAATATTATTTTAGGTCTCTTTTCTTTTCTTAAGTTATCGTGTAATAACTTACCTTATCGTATCTCATCAGATTGTCTTGTTTTCCAATCGTTATTCACCCTCTTAATTCATCTTTGGACTCGAAGAAACCCTCACGAATATTCCTGAGTAGGTACAGGTTACGTACATCCAACAGAGGCTGACATCACTAGGCTAAGAAGCAGTGAATGCACTTTTGAGGAAATCCTGAGTCTCCGAAGTTATTTATTTTCACATATTTTTCGTACTCATAACTATAGTCCATAATGCTTAGAGAAAACTAGGATTGTTCTTTTTATTAAATAGGAGGTAGTCTTCAATAACCTACAAAATATATAAAATCCATATAAAACATATAGATTTGCTATCTAAATTAATAACTAGCATTTTAAATATAATATAAGTTTACTTACTTTGTATGGCCCAAAAGATTAGTTGTGAATCTTCACGTATAGTATGCATACCACACAGAAGACTGGGGCTTGATTTTATTGTAAATAATATATTATTCTCTAATATTAATTGTAGCATAACTTCTTCCCATTGTAAATATCATATAAACAACAAACTCCATCTATTTGCTGCAGATAATAAAATACTGTAGAGAGACAACCCTCTTGTTTAATTAAAAATATAAATTTAAGTGCCCGAACCACTTCACAGAAAACCCTGGAATCGGGAGATAATTTAACCGACAAGGTTAAATCCCCCTGTTAAAGTAACATTAGGCTAGTTGGTTGTTACATCTAGTCCCAGTTGTTACACTGGAGTGCGCAGCCCGAACTCACCTACTGAAGCAAGAAGTGCCGTGTGTCGTTTACCCGCTCAATTATCCGTTTAGAAATAATTGTTCAATATCCTAAGATTCTCCCTTACACTAATGCATTCAACAAAAAAGTAAGACGTGCATTAGAAATAAGATTTAAATCAATTTTTATTTTGCGGAAAAATATTTTTTAGATTTCCATTTGTCGAACTATCGTCATCACTTAGTTCGATGTTTTTTTGTAGAACAATTATTTTATTTACCTTTTTTATGAATAAACCATTTAGTTTTTGTAAAATGGCCTAAAAAACGCGAACATTTAGCCAGTTCGGAATTTTTCATAGTTTTATTTTTTGGTATTATAATTATTGTAGTTACCCTTTTTATGAATAAATCATTTAGTTTGCCTAAAACGGCGATAAAATCCTCGAAAATTTAGCCCGTTCGGATTTTTTCTTAGTTTGATTTTTTTTTTGTAGTATATTTATTTTACCCTCTTTATGAATAAATCATTTAGTTTGCCTAAAACGGCCTGAAAAAAATGTGAAAATTTAGCCCGTTTCGATTTTCCCTTAGTTTGATTTTGCTTTGTTATATAATTATTTTATTTGCCATCTTTATGAATAAACCTAAATGATTTATTAGCTTTTTTCTTTAAATAATTATTAATTTATTTTTTTCGTTGTAAAAGTATTAAGCACCGAATAAAAATATTTTTTTAAGATTCTTCTCCTTCCATTGAAAATTATCGAAAAAACAATTTTGTCTATGTCAATTTTCAGTTTTAAAAATTAATTTGGTACGGCTACAGTTAATCCTCTATCAAAAATATACCTATGCTCTATGCTATTATTATTTATTTAAAATAACTTACTTGCTCCGTGCTTAAGTAGTAATTCCACAACCTTGATCCTATTTTTCTTACAAGCTATATGGAGCGGCGTGAAACCGTTGAGCGCCCTAGCGTTAGGGTCCGCTCCTCTATCCAATAATAGTTTAGCGACCCTAACGTGACCGCAATGAGCTGCCACATGAAGAGCTGTCAAATAATCTACGGTCACTTCGTCCACCGGAGCACCGTGGTACAGCAGAATCCGTGCCGCGTCAACATGCTCGCCTTGGGCCGCCATATGCAATGGCGCCAGACCATTCTGAAATAAGATTAATTTTTACAATATACGAGTATATATTTTAAGAGCAAACCGCAAAGAATCTAAGGGACAGATTATTTTTACAGAATTGTGTGAAAATAAAGGCACCCTAGGTTGTTGTTAAAGAGGAGGATGACACGTACGATCTCGCGCTGCGAAGGGTCTTCCATTTTAACGCAATTAGTGTCAAATTAAAGCTGAAGCTTCCTCTTTATTTTTTTTGGAGTGAGGGTAGCTATATGTGAGTAGTAGGGATTAAGTGTAAGGGTTAAAGAAAAGGTTCTTTATTTCTCACAAGTCTCAAGTTTTGACTTGTGAGAAATAAAGGACATTTTCTTTAACCCTTACACTTACTTCCTCTTTAACAATAACTAGGGGTGCCTCTGTTTGCACTCACTCAAAAAAATGCAGCATCGAAGTTTGTTAATTTGACACGTACGTAAAACCTGAGCAAACAATGTTAATGATCTGGTGTTTAGCAATTAATAACCTATAAATTTTTCAATTTAGCCTATAATAATCCGCCCCTTCGTTTTTTGCGGCTGTCAGTCTAAAACAAAATCATTCTAAATACATAGTTATTATTAAACTGAGCAGAAGCTAGAATAAATACATAATCAATGTCAGTTCACATAAGAAGACAAGCAAAAGAACTCGCTATAAGTGTGAGCATCGTATATCAAGGTTGTTTGCCAAAGAACATGTTAATTGTAACTTGTGGAACAAAAATTTCATTTGTAGGAGAGTTCATCATGGTTTCTGAATGGATAATTTTAACTGAGCGAGTAGGGAATATCAAGATAACCTGAATGAAGAGAAATTAATATAATGAAGATGTCTGCTAGATTATGGAGAAATAAAGACCTAAATCATGAAGGATAGGATAAGAAATATAAAAAGTCTGTGTCCATCAGTGTCTCACCTATGTCAAATGAAATAGTTGACCCGCTCGCTAAAAGAGGAACTGAATCTGAGCTGATAGGACTAGAACTATTCCTTGGTATTGCAAAGACCACTGCCGAAGGAATTATCTCAAACTGGACAGGGTTAAAACACACCTGTACTGAAGATATATCGAAGAATAACTCATTCGAAAGCGTTTATACCCAACCTTATGAACGCCTCTGCTCAGATCCGAAAATTGAGTAGGAACAACCTACTTATTCTGGCGCAATTGATGACAGGACATTCTCGTCTAGGTAAGCACATGAGAATGTAGGTATGCAATAACCATCAGACTGTCGATCTGCAGTATGGAAGACGAATTTGTAAGGCAAATTTTATATACCTGTTCCGCATTGAAAAGAACTAGGTTCCAGATCTTTGGCTTTACCTGAATGAAGCCTGTCGACAGGGCCAACACAGTTGTAGTCAAACGAAAACTAGCGAACAACATGCTTAGAGCAATATATGGAACGTAAAACATTAAGAGACCGAAGAGAACTATTGTGAAATAGTGACGAGAAAGAAAAATATGTTAGAGCAGGATAGACTTGTTAAAATAGTGAGGGCCGGCAAGCCTGCAGGAAGCAGAGCTCGAGGAACGACGAACCCTCTTAAAAAGGTGGAAATGAATAGTTGTCTATATAAGGTGTTATTTAATGATAGGCCGTAATTCCAAGGGCCGATTTCGGAACCAAATTCAATTATAAACGTTCATATAAACATGTGTCCTAAAATTTGTTGAAATTTTGGAGTGTTGCTCATTGTGATAAGACGCTAATTTATCACTAACTAGATATTAATAAAAAAAAAAAAAAACGATTTTTTTAAAAACTTTGACACTCTGTTTCTTGAAAATTAGACTTTAAAGGATACATGTTTATATAAACTTTTATACTTGAATTTGGTTCAGGAATGTTTCCGTGAAATTAAGGCCTATCATTAAGTATAGCAAATTGCCAATGGAAAAAATAAAACAAAAACAAGCCAACCAAAGTATAAGACGAGGTGCAAATTGGTAGTATTTTCACAAGTTCTAAATATTAGCACCTCGAACATTAAGATCCTGTCATCTCTCAGTCATGCAAACTTACTGCTGATTTAAATTGGTTTAAAATAAATTATTCTTCTGTTGAAATACAATTTATGTTTATTTTTAAGAATTTAAAGTAAATATAGATTGGTTAAGAATTGAGTATCCATTCCATTTACATCAAGTCTTCTACTGAAGACTAAACACTATGAAACGCTAAAAGCCTTCCTGCCATTCGTGGTAAGGGGGGGTTATAAACAGTTCAACTAGTGGAAATACAAATAGTTTTATTGCTTATTACCTTTGTTTTAGCATGCATGGGAGCACCATTTTCCAATAACACGTCGACAACATGGTCATGTCCGCTTCTTGCCGCGCAATGTAGAGGCGTTAAACCATCCCTTGTTTTGGCTTGAATATCAGCACCTTTCGCAACCAATAAGGTTACCATATTGATTTTTCCCCATTTACTGGCCACATGAAGTGGAGTGATGTTGTGTTTCGCAGTATAATTTACATCAGCACCTGAGAAAATAGAACAATATTTTTTATGACAAATTAAATTACTTCATCATATTTTTGATAAAGATACAGATAAATACCTAAATTTTTGGACAGGGATTATTATGTGCGAACCCGAAATACATACGTATCGAACAGAGAAAACCAATTAAAATCGTTTATTTTCAGTCACGTGTATCAGCATATTCAATCAGCTCTGACCTACACTGATAAGTTGCCTAGGAGTGTTATCACTTAAGTCAAGTTTGCACCAAACCATTATGAATTGAACGTTTCGTCTAATAACTATTTGAATAATTATTAAAAAGGTTCACAGTAGAGACAGTAATTCATGACTTTTACCCTTTTTTTCATTTCATTATTTATCAGTATATGGTGTACTCCATATGTAAACCAGGCCTAATAATACGGCATTTCTAAAAAGTCAAACTTTTGACACAGTTAAAATATGTCAAAAATTTACTAACCGGTCAGTGATATACTCATAATTTTTTTTTCAAATACCTCCAGTACGTTTCATAAGGTAACCGAGCAACGTGCTTTCGATAAGTGAAAAAAAAATTTATTCAAATTATCGCTGTCCTTGGGATATTACTACTGATAATTTATCATTTATTTTTTATTACCATCAAATCTTAAGATTAAGAAAATAAATTGTATAGACGAAAATGTGTGTTGAAATTATATACTTCCGGCACACATGGTTTTCAACATCTTTTACATAAAATAAATTTTATCAGTACAGTTAATCATTCTTTTCTTTTTAATAAAAAAAAAACTATTCAACGAAATGCAATGTTGATAGATTTCATTCAATATACACCTCACTCTCAACGTTCATGATTTTTTTGACTGTACTATTGGAGATAAGTTGGTTAGGGGACAGCACTTTTTAAGCGTCTTTCGAAAAACTAAGGCAAAAGAACGTATTATACATTTCTGAAATCGCGCTTCAAAGATATTTCTTGTTTATGCCCCACTATTTATTCAGTCATAGTACATCTGCACAAAAACGTGTTGCACATTGTCGTGTGAATCTAGCCCGTGGGGTGAACCACTGCCGAAATACTGGTACGTTTTCACCCGAACCCACCGAAATTGTTTACAGATCTTTCGAAATTTCCGAAATCACTACTAAAATGATCACCGACATCACTTCGAAATCAATATTTCCGTGTCGCCTGACCGTTAGATAGAGGTTAGGTGCCCCATTTTCACATACAAGCCTCAAAGAGGGTTTAAAAGTACATCGATTTCAATTAGAATGAAAGGAAATTTACGAGTGGCTCCAAAGGGAAAAGATTTTCCGCAGGGCCGGATGCTCCCGTGTTCAGTTTTCGTCTGCCACGCGCACAGAATGATAGTGATTTTCATTAAAACCTCAAAATAAAGACCGCCCACGATGCGTAACATCCTATGGGCCGGATGCTACACCGTCACTCACAGAGTGCTTTTCATTTGCACGACAAAATAAGGACCACCCACGATGCGCAACATCCTATCTTTAGCTAGGTATCTGTATCTGTAACGTGTGGTAGGGTGAGTTACCCCATGCCACTTAGGCCTCACTAGGCCCATTGTGTATCTTCCTAAGATGATAGGCACTTCTTAGCTCGTGAGCCAGCCTACAGATTTAATGTAGTTGACAACGTCGCCAAAAGGAGCTTCTCTTATATTTTCCATACTCGCCGAACACAAATCTTCTAATAAATAAGAACATCGAGTAATCGGATGGTCTTATCTTCTTGTTCGTATCCCCTGCAGAGTGCGGATTCTGAAAGCCTCATGATATGGAGATGCTTCCGTACTTGGCAATGACCAGTCAGAATGCCTGTGAGTAGGCGCAGATTCTGTCTAGTCATAGTCAAGTATTTGTTTGCTGCAGTGTTGTCAGGATAACTTAAAAGCTCCCTGGCAACTCTGCAGTTTCTTGTTTCATCCCATCTTTCCTTGAATTTCACAAGGGAATGTTCTTTAATTAGGACTGATACTAACGATTTTGCCAGACTAATAGAAGGGCTGCTTTCTTGTACAGTGAATAAGCACCTTTCGATGTGGCGTGACCTTTGATCCATCTTAAGGTGACCACATTGTTGATGGATACTTCGGCCAAAGCTTCGTGACATTCTAGTACTAACCCTGAGTAAATTCGTGGTCTGTTCAGGGTGAGTAGTGCTTGTCTACTATCTGTATAAATAAGCATGTTCCTTCCAGTGATATTTTTCCTGGTGATTTCATTTGCTGCTATGAGAATCCCCGTGAGCTCTGTTTGAACTACACTGGCAGTATTGCTCACAGCCCATTTTATGTTTAGGTTTAAGGATCTGGAGTATATTCCACATCCTGAGCCTTGTTTTGTTTTAGAACCGTCAGTGTAGATATGAATCGTACCTGCCACTTCCGGCTCTTCTGTTTGTTCTTTATATCGCTTATGGAAGATATATCCCGGTGAGATGGAGTCCACGTTCGCTTAAAGGTATTTTTTGCCCATATTTTCATGCAAGCCGTGTTCACTAAATGATTAACTAATAGAACTTGGCTTTGGAAAACCAATGGATTTAATGTTTAAGTGGCTAAAGGGCGTTATCTTGTAAGGAAAAATCTAGATTTTAACCGATTTTTCCACACAAGCCCAAGGAATATATGATAACGTATATCGTCACTAGTCCGGAAAACATACTTATGGGCTTGAATGACCCGAATAGATAAGTTCATTTTGGGGTTGGAAAATTTTTATGTTAAGGAAAATCGAATTTTCAATGTTTTCACTATCTGACGTTCTATAATTTAAATCGGTCAGCGTGACCTGGAAGTGTCCGGATTTGGTGCGATGATGACGCTGCAGGAGGATCAAAAAACAAGTGAAGACCAAAAAAAGGTCATTTGAATATTCCTCTCCCAAAATAGAATAATAATAATATATACACTATTTATAATGATTTAGACAAAATCGCTGAAATCCCATAAAATTACGGGGTATTTCATACGATTTTTGGTACGTTTTAATCTTAGTGACTTGCCCCTCGACCTAGCCTAATTATTTGTATGTTGTCGATACACAATATTTTTTTTTCGACATACTCTATATTTTACGTCTGTGGTAGATAATACATTAATTAGCTTTTCAATATAAAGTACCTACTCTTGTAAAATTATCTTGCATCATACGAAAATTATTCATACATATCCTCATTAAATTTGGAAACAGTACTAGCATTCTTGAGAAAACGAAAAAAAAAAAAAAAAATGATGGTGATGATTATACAAAATCTAGTTATTTTAATTATTGAATTATCTAAAATGAACCTTATTTAGTTGAAACAGAAATAAAAACATTTATATTCTAAAAAATAAATTTTGGCAAGTACTAGTTGGCACCGAATATGCAACATCGGAAATAATAATTACATTCCTTCATTTTATTCCAAATAAATTTAGTAAATACGTTTTGATATTCATTTTCTACATTATTTGGAAGTTTTTTTTTCACCACATTAGATGAGTTTCTGACTAAATTATTTTATATGTTTTAAATCTAAACATATAAACAAATATGTTAAAAAACAGAAAAATATTAACGTCTGAAGATTTACAAAGTTCATTATAAAACATCGTAAATCATCATAGGTGAGTTATAAATAGCCGTTTATGTAACCAGTTACGAAATGCCTTATTTTGCATAACGAGTGAATATTTGTAAGATAAGCGAAGCGAGGTCCCTCAAAATGAACGAGTATATATTTTTTGAAAAAATATTTAATTTTCATTGTTTGTACACGGTGGCTTCATCACGGTTGCTAAGGACGCAGTGACGTCACGAAATAAAAACGTGAGTCAACAGAAAATATTATACTTCGGGTGGTTCATTAGTTTTTTAAAAAATCTAATATTTTATTGTTATTTAGTGGTGTTAATATTTTTATTTTTGACTTTGTTCTGGTGTTAGAGTTTTTATAATATCGGTAGTTTTTTTGAAAGACGAGCTACAAAAGAGCAAGGTAATGATTTTCAACAAATTTCAAATGAACTACTTTTTATTTGAATTAAGAAATTTTATAAAAACTCCAACATAGGTATATATTCCAAAAATAAAAACAAACACCACTAATATTATTATTAATAAAATATTAAATTTTTTAAAAAACTAATGTACAAACCGCGGCAGAATATTTTCTGTCAGTTCGATTTTTCATTCGGTGACGTCATACCCTTCCTTAGCAATGGACTGAAGAGGCCACCGTGTTGTCTACGAACCGTTGGTATACAGGGTACTTACTAACAGTGTAATAAACTCTTGCATATTTTTGTAACGTCAAGGAACCGTACGAAATCGGCGCCTACGCAATGAATTGATTAAATGTATTGGTCGGGGTCAGTTTTACTACTGATTTTTAAGTAGATCTACTAATTTCACACACTGTTTTTACGCTTCTTTCATTCAATGTCTCAGAGAGGTAGGGCATTTCTCTTTTGCAGTGGGGGTTTACACGAATTTAAATATAATATACTTAATGATAGATGTGAGGTAAGACGAGTGTGACTAGTAAGTAGTAGAAGTAATAAGTATTGGGTAGTTCTTATAAATATACAATAGGTCATTTGTTTTTATAAAAAATTGTGTATGTTTCTACAAATCTAAAAGTGATGCACTTTATTTTTTTTGTATATGTGATATAGGTAATTTCTGCAAGCTTCTGTTGTTTTATTTTTGTTTTGTTTTTGATATTTTTTAAGTTTAATTTATATATTTATTTTGTTGTGGTTTTAAACCTAAAAAATTATTTTCTACTTATTTTTTCAACTGACCAATACTGAATAAATAAAAAAACACCTGGCAAAACTGTTTATGGTACTTACCTTTTTCGTATAGAAGAGAAGCAACTTTGTCATTCCCGTAATGAGCTGCAATGTGTAAAGGTGTAAACCCGCTTTTTGAAGTAACATCGGGATTATGTTCGTTTTGGAGCAGGAGCGAGGCAGCTTTGACGTCATCTTTTTTGGCAGCGATGTGTAAGGCGGGTAATCGGACCTTGCCCCGGGTGTCGTTTTCTAAAAGAACTGCGACCACTTTATCGTGGCCTTGTTGCATTGCTACAGCCAGAGGAGTAAAGCCGTCCTGTAAAAAACAAGAGTTTTAGCCTAAATCGCAAAGTATTGTAATGAGAGCCATTTCATTATTCAGTTATCCTCCAAGTCCTTCTCTGTCTTATTTGGCTTTTGAGGCGCAACTTGTCCGATTATCATACATAATTAAACCCCTTAAGACCAAACATATGTGACAACTATAGCGAAGTCGCTTTCAAGTACATTTCAGATTGAACGTGATAATGTCGTTACTAGTGTTGGTGAGAATTGGTGAGAACATTCTAGAACCTTCACCAAAATTCCAAAATGAAGTTCCCGCAAAAAATATTACACCGGTATGCACTCCTGAATATATACCACCAATTAAACTTTATGCATCCTCTCTATTCCCTTTAGTAGTTATAGCCATTCCTTTATCGTGAACTTAGTCCCACGCAATATTTTTGCAAATAAATATTGCAACCGTATGCACTCCTAATGCACTCATATGTACCATCAATAAAACTTTTCGAACCCCCTCCCTTCAGTAGATACGGCATTTTTTTGACCGTGAAGTTAGCCCCCCCCCTCCTCATGTAGTTTTTCCAAAAAAAAACTATTGCTCCGGTATGCACTTCTGATGCAGTCATATGCACCAGCAATAAAACTTTTTGCACCCCCTCCCTTTAGTAGTTAGAGCTGTTTCTATACAGTGAAGTTAGCCCCACGCCATATTTTCGTAATAAAATATTGCACCGGTATGCCCTCCTGGTGCACTCATATGCACTATCAATAAGAGGTTCTCAATATTAGTCAACATTTTTTACCGATGCACTACTTTTTTCAATTCAAAAGAAATGTGTACAAGGTGAGTCACAACTCAAATACATCATTTTTCATTTTCTTAAATTGATCACTGTATCACTATATCAAAAATAAAAGTACCCTAATTAAAGTTTAAAAATTTATAACTTTGGAAGATTTTTAAATTTAAATTAAAAAAAGAATAATTTTGAAAATGTATTGAAAATAAATAAACAACAATTTTATGAATAATTTGAAAATTCGGAACCAAATCTCAAAAAGTCCCCTACGAATAATTAAGATCATCCCCGAACTCTAAAGGTGAAAACAAATACTTGGAGATTTAAAGAAAAGTCTATCCCTTAACGTACATTGAAAACAACTCACGCAGACGAACATATGGAAATATCGAAAACCTTTTACAAAAAAAAAATGGTTTTCAATCGTTTCTGCATTATTCAGGTAATTTAAATCAATACGATTTTCATAAAAAGAACTGGTTATAGCGTGGGAAATACCCAGTATAATCTTATACTATTTGGTATTGATATAATGGGAAAAGCGAAGGCAATTCAAATATAAATAAAATACAGTATGATCCAATAAAAAAACCTAACTTTAATATGTATCACTATCTTGGAGAAAACTGTACAAATAAAACTACTTTTAAATTTTGGCCTTTTCTAATATACATCTCGCTGTGAAAACAGATTTTAAAAAATCAAATATTTTTGGCCCAAACCATAAGTTCGTTGAAACGACCATTATTTGGAATTTAATGGTAAATAATGAAAGAATAAAGTATATTTAAGTGAAGATAATTTGAAAAAATTACGAATCAAGCCAATATAACTATCAATTTATAAAATTAGTAGAATGATAAATAAATCATACATAATGTATATTTATTTATTTACTTATATGATACTTTCAGTAAGTGGGAAACCAACAAGAATTGTGGCATCTTGGAACGAATAGTACCAAATTACATAATATTTTTATTTGTTCCAAGAATTTTCACCATTTGACATCATTGAAAAAGAGTACAGTAGTAGTTAGTTGTTTTAAACTAGGACAGGTATTTGACTTATATAACACAAATAAAGCATTTCCAATCATTTACGATTTTCTACCACAAAAGCATCCTAATCTTTTTTACCACCTATAAAATTGCAGTCAATAAAAAAATATTTATCCTAATAATATAAACTTTCTTACCAAAAACTTCATTAAGTTCATGTTGGATACATTGGCCAAAATTATTGTTTAACAATATTTTTTTCAAATTCAGTAACAAAATATATACGTGATCGGTCACTTAACAATAATTAGTTTCATTCTTACAACCTGAACCTGACTGACATTTATACTCCAGACAATTTAAAGTTGTCTGATTGATATCTACAATGGTGTTATTGTTATTTTATTATATGAATGAATGACTCGGTAAAGAGTATTATAATATATGATGTGATAAATAAATGTTATGCGCATTCCCACACGGTAGGCGTTTTATAAAAATGATAATATAGTCACAGTTCAAAATTAAGGTCTTAATGGCATAATGGGTCATTAGTCAATAGATAAGTAAATGAAAGCGTGCAAAATTATTTGCTCGTGGCAGCACGGTATAGATTTTTCATTTAAAGAGATATGTATTTGAATTATTTTTGTTTCGTTTTCTTCATATATTTTTTTACATTACTTCTTTTAATGCGATACCTATGCATTATAGAGTGCATTTAAATGGCTTAGTTGTTTAGTTACTGTTTGCATGTGTATTATTATTGCAGCGCTGTTGAATCAAATATAAGATTAGCCAGAAATTTTGCCAATCTAAGTATCGAGTAGGAACAAAAAGATTAATTTTTCACAGGATTTCAGGACAATATTAAAAAAATCAGGTCTCTATGCTTTCTTCTGATTACCGGGAATTCATTTTTAAAAACTGCCCCATTCTTGTATAAGCACAATAAGTTTGTAATTTAAAGAAAATTGTTCTGAACACGATCAATTTGTAATTTGTAGGTTACATAATGTGGAGACCATACAGAAGAACAATCAATGCGACTCCCTAACTAAAATACAATAAAGAAGTATGTAGCAGTTTCATTAGTGAAGTTGCGGGTCGTTCTTTTAATAAATAATTTTCATAAATTTACTAATAACTGAAGAGATGTGGTCGTTAAAACTAAGGGTTGTGTCTAAAATAGTGCCAAGCTCTATAATTTATTTTACACTATCTAAAAGTTGACCACTGACTGTAGAGTCAAACATAGTGGCTGTTGAGAAAGATGGAACTGAATTATGTGATATTTATCCACATTTAAATCCAGACTGTAAATCAATAGCATTTCCAAAGTTGTTGACAATGTGGAAAAGTTTAAGGTTATCTACAAATAGTAAAAAATTACTATGCCGAAAATAGGTTAAGCTAAATTGTTGACAAATAAACTAAAAAGTTCCCAAATGGGGGAACTCTAGAAGTAACAGAGTAATCGTGAGAATAGTGACGATTGACTATTTGTATCATAATAAGATAGCTTTAAATCCATTGCAACAATAAGTCACTTAGACCAAATTTACTTAGTTTATGATTTACTCTATCGAAAGCCTTGGAAAAATCAGCACATCTACTTCATACTACATCTCCAGGGCTTCCGAAACAAAGTTGGCAATAAGCAACCAATTCAGTTCAGTTGACTTGAAGGCGCGAAAACCAAATTGTTGAGTTATTGATCTAAATAAAATCAAACTACAATCCGGAATTTATACGCAATGTTCGCAAGTACAATAATTAGTTTTCAAATTCTTTAAAAATTCCTAAAATAATTTTTTTTTTAAATTACCCTTACGAAATAATGAATTCCATTTTTGAACCCCCCATAGTGACAATAATTTTTTTGAAATTATTAGAACTTTAAACCGATTCCATTTACTTTTTTTTAAAATCTGATGTGTCCAACACATGACTTTCCTGTCCAGTTATTTTGTACAATTTACTGTATCACCCCTGTAAACGGTAAATGTTTAGAGGATAAACTAAACATATACATTTCCCACAACGATATTACTCGAAACATTTTTGATACGGTCGTTCGCGAAACGTTTTCAATTAGTCCGGTCCTGCCTCCGTTGTCGCCAGTTCACCCATAGTGAACTGCGTACCTGTTACAGATTGTCGCCTACCCCAGAGGGGTACGCGGCATTGGCCTATAAGAAGTTTCTCGAATTTTTTCCGACCATCTAGAATTTATTCGATACAGTGACTACGGTAATACTATCGCGTTCTAGATCTTCTAGTAACTAAGAGAACCAGTGCGGTGCGCAGCATTTTTTGAAGTAAAACTTCTTAGGCCGCGGTTCGATATTTGATGAGTAGGCAGTGGACCGATATTTGGCTAGAATAGAGAGTGAAATTTCAAGGACAAGGTGTAACAATGGTAACGTCACGAAATTAAAAGAACATTGACCTTGAGAGTTTATATACGATTTTTCTGTTTAAAAGATACAAGCGGAGCGGGAGGGGAGAGCGGCGAGGAGTGGAGTGAAGAGCGGAGCAGAGTGAATTGGAGTGTAGTGGAGATCGGAGTTAAGTGGAGCAGAGGTAGAGTGGGGGTAAAGTTGGGTAGAGTGTGGTATAGTGGAGTAAAGTGGGGTAAAGCACGTAGAATGGAACATAGTAGGGTAGAGTGGGGTAGAATGGGGGGGGGGTAGAATGGGATAGAATGGAGGTAAAGTTGGATAGAGTGTGGGTAGAGTAGGGAAAAGTGGGGATAGAGTAGCGTATAGTATGGTAGAGTAGGGGTATATTAGGGGTTACAGAGGGGGTAGAGTAAGAGTATAGTAGGGTACATTGGGGGTACAATAAAGGAAAAGTAAAGTAGAGCAGGATAGAAGGAGGTAGATAGGAGTAGAGTGGGTCAAAGGGGTAGAGTGGGGGTGGAGTAAAGTAGAGTGGGGAAGACTGTGAAGTAGAGTTTAGATAGAGTGGAGCAAAGTTTAGGTAGAGTGGGGTAGAGTGAGGAAGTGTAGGGTAGAGTGAGGGTAAAGTGGAGTAGATTACGGTAGAGTGGAATGACGAGAGAGAGAGAAGTAAAATGGCCGGGTGCAAAACACGCTTTGAGCAATATATATAACTAAAAAAAGGAAATAATTCCAAACTCAAATGTGACAAGATGTAAAATACAATTAAAAAAATCTTAAAGCCATGTGTCACAATAATATGAGCGGTCGTTTCTCTTTTGACAACTACTCCTTTGACTTCACCAGGTATTGAATTACGTCAAAAGATAAAAGTAGAGAGAGAAAATATTTTTAACATTCTACCTTTGATTTTGCTTAGTAAGGAGAAAGTCGTTCTTGGACCGGTTTCGTCCTTATTAGGACTCTTCAGCAAGAAATAGAAAATCTCGACTCCAGTCACTTTATGGTACTTACGAGGCAAAATGGCCGCGTGTTATACTGCTTTAAGCAATCTATATCAGCATCTCAGAGGTAAGGTGTGTTAAGTCACCAAAACTACATTTGTCAGAGAGGCATTTTAAAGTTCACTTATTGTTCTAACAAAAAATGCAAAGAAACGGCGAATTTACTAAATATTGAGATCTTTGCAAAAGTCAATTGTTTGGTCAATTTATTTCGATTTTTTGTTAGATTTTCTTACTTTGTCTTAAAATGTTGACTTTGATGTGATTTATTATTAGCCCCAAATTTGCAATACTTGGTTTGCGACTTGCCGAGTGTTCCGTCATCTTTTGGCGAAATGATTCAACTAGGGAATTAAATATGTTTTCCCCTAGATAGAATTTGGTATAGTAAATTCACAAGTGGAGAAAACCGGTACTGGTTTCTAAATTCAATATTAAAATATTGAACTTTTTCACATTGAGATACGCAACCTCTCTATCGTAACATTAAATCCAGACCATCCTGTATACAAAATAGAGGTATATAAACAATCTCATTTTAAATAATTGTCATTCTAATCCTTTATGAGCAGATTTAGAAGGCGTAATCTCAACAAAGTTTTTAAGTTCAATAAAAATAATTTTCAAATCCTAAATCGCATAAAATAAAAATTTAAATGGCGTTATTAAAATATTTTTTTTACTAATTGATTGCAATAATAAAAATTAATTATGATAATTTTATTTACAACAGTATTATGTTGATTTAAAAAGTTTTTATAACCTCATACCTCAGTAGCCAGTGCCTGGTTGGCCCCTTTGGATAACAGATATCGTACACAGCCATCGTGATTTTCTTGCGCCGCCATGTATAAGGGCGTGAAACCATTTTGGGATTGAACATTTAAAGAAGCACCTTGTTGGACTAGTAGACGAACCACTTCCTCTTGTCCGGCTGAAAATCAAAAATAAATAAAAAAAGGACTATGAAAAAATTGTAATTTTTTTTATCCGTACCGGAAGTTAAATGTGGAATAGAAAATCAGTCTCGGTCTTTCTTACAAATAGTCAATTTTTTTTAGAAAATAATCACAAAATTGGGATTTAATTTACTCAATAATAGTTCAGAGATTTCAGTGGGTACGTTTTAATCATCTTCCGCTTCTTCTCGCAGGGAATGGGCCAAATAAAACGATCGACAGAATTTTTGGCCTTTAGTGCTACGCGACATGGTGAAAAACTATTTTGCCTGCCGGATATAGGCCAAACATTTTTGAAGAAAAAGAGTATTATTTACTATTTTTTATAAAGGTTGTTTAAAGAATTGCAAATAAATATAGCTGATTATTATAATACTAGCTAGGTGTGTACATTTATTTTGATAAATAATATGGAGGACATAATTGCAATAATAATAACTACACTCTAAAAACATTACAAGATGTAGAGATTTTTACCTAGTAAATAGTGAACTGGATCCACAGATATTGGACAGATTAATAATATTGTAAGTATGTAATATGTAGCTATTTCAGATGCGTATTTAGTAGTAAAATTCTGTTTAAGGATGCAGCGCCAGTATATACCAAAAATAACAAATTATGTAGAAGAAGTCATACCATCTTATAACTATTCAACATTTAAAAGCCATTTCCGAATGACGCCAGGATGTTTTTAACAGTTTTTAATGATTATGGGAAATGTTCAGTCATTAAGAAAAAGACACCATGGTAGACGCCCAATAGTGCCATTGCAAAAAATGTTATTAATGGTTCTGTGGATCTTGGATACGCCTGAAAGTTTTCGATCCATTGGAGATAGATTTAATGTCTGCAAATCAACAGTTTTTCATTGCCTACACAGAGTGGTAAGGTTTATAAATAGTAAACTATACATTAAGTGGCCAGAAGAAAGAAACAGAGGGGCAGAATCAATGGGAAAATATGGTATAAATTAAGCTCTTGGTGCAGTAGACGGATGCCATATCCCCATTACAAAACCTATACTTCATGAATATGATTATTTTAACAGAATAAAATTTTATTCCATGGTTCATTCTTCAAGGTATTTGTAACGGAAATCTTTTATTTATTGATGTAGATATCAGATGGCCAGGATGAGTTCATGATGCACGCGTGTTTAGAACATCAGATATTTTTCAAGTCTTACCAAATTTATGTAAACTCATTTTTTTTGAACTTGGAGATTCTGCATATCCTCTTTCGAAATGAGTTTTAACACCTTATAAAAATTATGGACAGTTAACACCAGTACAGTTAAATTACAACAAAATTCACTCCAAAACAAGAGTAAAAATTGAACATGCTTTCGGCTTATTAAAAGGGCGTTTTAGGCGTCTAAGAGAGTGTCTAGATATTAAACAGACAAAAGATATTGTGGAAATTGTGGTTTCTTCTTGTGTTATCCATAATATGTACATTGTCCATGGACAGGATGACAATATTCAAGACTATATAATGAAGGTCAACCAGAGTTACTTTTACATAATTTCGATGAAGATCGAAATGTTGAATATGAAGGTATCATTAGGAGAAATCAAGTTGGTGAAGAGTTGTGGAATAGACATCAAAGAATATAATAAAAAGAAACACATTGTATCTATTTTAATAAAATTAAAAACATTCTTACTATATTTTACTTAAAACATTGTAAACTTAAAAACATATTCTTATATTATTTTACCTAAAAAATAACAAACTTAAAAACATATTCTTATATTATTTTACCTGTAACATTGCAAAACTTAAACAAGAAAATTTATCAGCAAGTTAGTCGAACATACATTAGGTATATTATTTTTATTCTGTTTTTCAATCCTGATAAAATCTCTGTCAATTCTTTTTGATTATCATCATGTTGTTTCTCCATAATCTTTATTCTCTCATTTTGCCTATCAGCAATATCTTCTTTATAGTCCTTTAACAATTTAAGCATTTCTTTTTGAGGCGAAAATTTTGTTTTTGGTCTTTTGTTTTCTTTATTGGTAGGAGACAATTCAGCTGATCTTTTAGCAGCCGATAAACTGGAACAGCCAGCAACAGGTGATATTCCAACAGGTGATCGCCAACATAGTTAGCTACCAAGTCAAAATACATCCATGTTTTTGGCTCATTACCTGTTTTGGAGTTGTGGTCTTTAATTTTCTTGTATTTTGACAACAAGATTTTCATTCATAATTTTATATATTTCAATTTTTTTATATTTAGGACTAAACAATTGTTCTTTGTATTCAATACAGAGATCTATTAATTTTGTCGTTTCACATTTATCCCAGGAAGCAGCTTTGGAAGTGGATGGTTTTTCAGTGTGCTCATCTGATTCTTGTGGATGTTCAGCTACTTCCACCTCGTGATATTGTTTTGCTGCAATCAATTTTCTTCGTAAAATTACTTGTTTATTGTTACCATACTTACTCTCTGGATTATACCATAGGTATTCTCCATTCTCGGTTTCTATTAGTTCGCTTATTCTGTTCTTTATTAAAACCGTCACTTCAGCTCTTTTTATACCACAAAAAACTTTGTAATTTGTCCTTTCCCACAAAAAATGTATTATTATCTTATAAAAATTGTTTTTTTTTAAAAAAGAGGTAAATAAAACAAGGGTGGTCCTTAAGATCTCACAAGAGTATTTTTTTACCCTATCTTCTTTTACGAATTGACACTTGATAATTGTTATATGATGACATGAGTATTTGACATTGACATCCTTCTCCTCTACCGAAAAGTTATTGCGGAAGAAAAGTAGCTGCCCATTCCAAAAATTGGGACTCATTAAAACGACAAAACAGACAATTCCGAAAGCAGAAGAAGGTGATTAAAACACACCTAGTGCCAGAATCGTTTCTTGAGTGATGTCAAATCACGAATTCCAGGCGGCTAAAAGCAAAATTAGATGTTAAAAAAATATATTGTATTTATTTATTGCTAATTAGCCCTTAACCATTTAAGTCTTACTATCCATTGTACCTACATGCTAATTATTGAGAGTCAAACTATAATAGTTATTCACTATTTCCTTTTATTGAATAAATAATATGTCGATCCATTGTTTTTTATTTGTAAAGGGACTACTTTGATATATGTCAAATATGACAACGCTATCTGTGATTAGTAAAAAAATTATGTGAAATTTAAAATAACAGCTATGGAGAAAAATGTTTGGTACCCAAGGCACATTAAGCCATGACATAATAATAAATTTAATCAAGTAGGTTAAGTTAAAATGACATGGTCATGAATAAACAAACTGAACCTGCTTATATTGTTAATACATTGATAAAAATTTAAATGCAATTTTAATGTAGGCAAATATTTATAGATAACATATATAGAGAACCAAAATTATGTGAATTAATAACGTTAAACAAGTATTTTGAGGTATTTTTTCGAAATATTCCTAAAATTGCTTTAGTATAATGAAAAGAATGTTGGCTAAATATTTATAAAAAAATGTATACTTATGCCACTGAGTTCGAAGTTTTATAATCAATTAAATGCTTAACAAAACCTACTATGGAACTACGGAAAATGTGAAGTTCTACACCATCATACTGGAATAGTATTTATTTTTCAGTATTTCGGATTTTACAAATAATTATTTTATAAATAGGAAAGCCATCCCAAATTAAAAATAAATAAAAAACAATTTAAACTTACCAAGAGAAGCAATATGTAATGAGGTATTTCCTTTTTTTGTAGCTGCATCTGGTATAGCACCTCTTTTCAGTAACTCTCGAGCTATTTCTATGTGACCATCTTTAGCTGCCAAATGAAGGGCGTTGAGACCATTCTGAAACAAAATAGAAAATATATTGTAAAGAAAATAAAACTATATTTTTCAATTGATCACAGTTTTGGAAACATTTAAACAAAGTGACATAAGCAAATTATTTTAAAATTGCAAACTCATTTTTCACTATTTTTCTACGAAAACTGTGATGATGGTTTTGTAAAGTCAAAACATCTCGTCTGATTTTATTAAATATTTATATGTACTGATTTTATATGATCTAAATTCCTTCACCTCTTAGTGTGTATATCATGTCGGTTCTTCTTATTTAAAAATTTTATCAACCACTCTAAGGTAGTTTATAGTATATTATTAAACGAGCAATTTATGGTAGCCATTATTCACCCGAGTGAATAATGGCCATAAATTGCGAGTCTAATACTATACTTTGTCCACGACCATTATGGTTTCTTTATTAAATAAAAGTTAAGTGTAGAATGGAAAGTTTTTATTAAACATAGGTAACTAACTGTTGTTTTTTCCACTTTTCAATATTTCGATTTTCGATTTTTCGATTTTTTGATTTTTTGATTTTTTGATTTTTTGATTTTTTTGATTTATCGATTTTTTGATTTTTCGATCTAAAAAATATCGTTATGAAAAGTATCGCCTATCTTTAGTTATCTACCGGAATGTGCCAGAATTACAAAAGCGTGAATTATCATAATTCACTCCGTGATATATGGTTACTATATGCTTTTAGTTAGGAGGTAGAATATTGATTTATTATTAAGTGGTCGTGGACAAAATTGTTTATGGTTGCATGTTAGGGGATATAAATTCATAATTCCCAGCTTCGTCTTGTAGGTATCCAAAAAATGGTGATGTTACCCTAATAATGGTGGAGGTAATGTTCTAATAATGGTGGAGGAAGATGTTCTAATAATGGTGGAGAAACATGTTCTAATAATAATACGATTGCAAAGGATGTAAACTGGAGACAGTTTGGGTTTTGTACTTAAAGGGTTCATATTCCTGTATCAACTTTTATCAACATCTTGTATAAGATAAACAAAATATAAAGTAGCTAGCAAATAAAATTATTTACGAGTACAACATTAGCCATTGATATATAAAATACAATATAATATTTTCCAGTTTTCGGTAATGGAGTATGGCAAAATGACAGTGTTTTACAATTTGTGGGGTTAAATGCCATAGTAGTTTGCTAAGAAATTAAGATAACTGTCCTTTATTGCAAATAAATGTTAGTTCAGCTATAAATTACTGAAATTCAGCAGCCTAAGGGAGGACTGCTTTTCTCACGGACAGTTTAATGTGACCTGTTAGAGTCAGCTCCGAATGCAATCTGGTGAAATTAGCAGATGAAAGCCGTACCAGAAATGTGGTGAACAAAGTGATTCTTGATTAGATTACTATACTTAAATATAAGCTGATTCATATTTAACTCTAATCTATAATACTATCACATATATACTATGATCCCTAAAAAACATTATCCTTCGTTTTTCTTGGGCAACCATGCATTTTTTTATATTAAAAACACGGCACCACGCGTGCGAAGCCGCAGGAAACAGCTAGTGTTCATATTAACTGGTAATTTTTTAATTTATTTGCTAAAGATTCAGCCATATGCTTTATATTGATATCGAAAGAAACTCCCCACTAAATATACTATACAAAGCATCATAGACATCCCCAAGCTGATCCGTCAAAGGACTATGTAGTTTCAGAAAGTGGTTTTAAAGTTAAATTGGAAATATGTTCTCTTAAAACAGTACAACGATTAGTTGAGGCAAAAAAATGTAAAGTTATTTTTTACTGCATCATTTACAAACAAGTTTAAACTGTTGTTACAACAGGGCACGAAAAATTATCCTAGATTTAAATCGAGAATCTTTTTTATAAATCGGAATGCTTCCCTCGCATGTTGGCAACATTTTTAAAGTATTTAGTAGACATTCTTTTTTTAAACCTTCAGCTGTTGTGTCTTCTATGGAGCAAAATATAAGAAACATTCCTCAACAACAATTTCCCCTGTTGTTGATTCTAAATTTACGAACCTAAAGCCTTGGTTTCTTTGAACACTCCGTCGCGGTGAGCGGACAGTCCATCGACCGCTGAGGACAGCAATTTTCGCCCGAGGTGGTTTGTTAAAAAATATAGAAAATGATACTTTCTCTAGGTCTGTACGTGCTGTTTATGTATTATGAAAGTAAACGAAAGGTACTAAAATGGATGCAAATAAATTGTTTGCGTTGTTGTTATTATTGTTGGAAGAGGAAGAACAAGAGGAACTGGCAATTGCAACCGTCAAAGTTTCCAATAAGCCAGTGGATGAGTTGTTTTTGTGTCGCGATACAGAAGGTGCCTTTAATATCACTGTGCAGCGGAGGCTTTTTGGAAATGAAACCAAATTTAGGGAGTATTTTAGACTTTCTACAAATCTTTTTGAATTCGTGTTGAGTTTTATAAAGGACATAATTTCCAAGAAACCTAAAAATAAAGTCATGATGTCATCTGTATGTGTGAATTTGTCACTCATTGTTTTAAAATTAATAACAATATAGTCTCCGCACACGCCGACGATTCCGCTGATATCAAACTCAACAGATATCAACAGACTCTTTGCGACAAATCAGCGGCATGACGCCGTCCTGCTCAGCTAAGCGGATTCAAGAAAACCATTCCCATTTAAATACTCTGGTTGGATAAAATCGTCAAAACGCGACGGTTGACGGACTGTCCGCTCACCGCGACGAAGTGTTCAAAGAAACCAAGGCTTAATACAGACAGAAATTTGTTCTTGATGGTTTATGTCCGAAGTTTAATTATTTTTATTATTTTTGCGACTGAGATACATACTGGCTGTAACTTCCCGAACAACTACATCATTTGGGCTTATCCCCACTAGCCTACGACATTTACTCTTTTCACAATGAGCTGGTGAAATTCGGAAAAATTCCCTGCAGCACCCTGTACTAGAAATAAGTGCGGAAGTTTTGTAACTATGGGAATTTGTAGATTTCGAAGCCATAAATAAAAGGCACAAAAATGCAAAACGTGATTCTTGGCAAGATGGCGCAAATCGGCAAATAACTTTTTTTGCAGGACCTCTCTTTGGGGGCCTGCTACAACAAACTAGTATAGTTTATGTTACAAGGATGAAAAGCTAAGTTAAGAAAAACACTTTTCGTCCGATGGATTATTACAAGTATTCTTGCAATAATTTGTACAAAATTGGCTAAACCGGCTATCACTTGGTTAATATTGTTATTATTTAAAAACAATAACAAATATAGTTTAGTTTTATTTCCTTTAATATATACCTCTTTAATTCTAAATAAAAATTTACTCAATGACACAAGGCTCTCGTATAACCTTTGACATTTATGATTAAGTTGTATTGTATAGACACTCAGAGCAAACTTAAAAATATAAAAAGGATTTTTTAGTAAAGAAGGTAAAAAACAATTCTAATACAATACAACGATGGGAAGACTATACAATGCAATGCTGTTTTAATAAAGACGGTCTAAATGTATAATTATGATATAAGTAACGTAACTTTCTATCACTAAGTTTACTTATACTAAACATTCTCGCAAATCATCTCATTGTTATATAACTTCCGGGACAATACGCTGTAATTTTCTTTTCAGACGATACGAAAGAGCGAGAATTTAATAAAAAAGAAAAATTGAGAAATGTTTACCGCCTTAGATTTTGCTTAGCAACGAAATTAAAAAAACAGAAATGATACAAATAGGTCGTATGTATGGCCAGGAATATTTCTTTCTCCAAACCTTCATTATTTTGCTTCATTTACTGGAATAATTGGCAAGGAACACAATTCCAACTCCAGACATGAAATACTTGACAAACAAGCACTTCAAATCCTGAGACAACAATACTTTAAAAATTCGCTTTTGTCAGAAGAAAGTCAAGGTTATTATGTTTTGCTCATTATGAAAAATAAAATTGTATTATTTGACGCCTAATTTGTTTGCTACAAGCGCAGCAAAATGTACATAAGTTACGCTGTAGAGATGATACTAATGTGCTTAGTTTCTTTGTATTTCTTAACGAGTACCTATATATTTTTTAAATTAGAAAAACCAAACTTTATACAATATGGATTTTCATCAACAGCCAAATGGAATAAATTCGGTAATAAATAAATGGGGGCGTGTTCGGAAAAACGTTCAGACACGTCGATTGGTATTTTTAGTTGCGCATTTTTTTCACGAAAACTTTTTATACAGGGTGTGTAATGTAACAGTGGCCAATACCAACTTTCTTATTTTAAATGCAACATCCTGTATATTTTTAAATTTTTTGATTTTTCAGAAAATTCTAGACATACTATGGACACTTTTTAAGTAGATTAAATTTGCAATTAAATGAAAATAACTTGGTTTTGGTAGGCCAAATGGTTTTTAAAATACGGCTATTCAAAAGTTTGCAAAATTTCAAAAATAAAGGAAATATTGCAGTTTTTTTTTAGTTTTCGACAATTTTTATCCCTAAGTACCTAGTGGGTTTATTGGAAAAGTTACTTTTTTTAGTTATTAAAGTTCACTGAATTCCCATCTAAATGAGACCAATTATGTGAACTTACACCTGATAGTTGCCAAGATGTGCTGTGGAGTCAGAGGACGAGCCTGGTCCATCAAAAATATACAAAAAATGTGAGTAATAACTATTTCCTTAACTGTGCTGTACATAAAATACAATAAGGCGTTGTCATTACATTTTTCATATCAATGTTTTAATTAGTAAAATGTTTATTTTAATAAATTATAATGCTTATTTCACTAATAGGGCGTACTTCATTTTGCAAACCCTTCTAGTACATAATTATTTACTTACCTCAACAACTTTGAACACCTGTGTCTCAGAAACTATCAGGTGTACGTTGATATTTGGTCTCTTTTTGTTGAAAATTTAGTGGACTGAAGTAACTTTTCTCATAAACCCACTCCTTAGGGGTAAAAATTGTCGAAAACTAAAAAAAGTAATACTTTTTTTGAAATTTT